GTGTCATTAGAGTAGAATTGCTCGTCTTGTCTTTTTCGTCTCTCTTTCATCTGTCTTCATTATTAAATGCGAGCGCCCCGGGCAAGGCCGTCGCGGCCCTCGGCTCTGGCCGTCGGCACGCCGAGCAAGGGCGCGGAGGCGTACGTGCGCTCGCTCAGCGGCTCCCCAGTCCCCCACGACCCTAGAAAGACCACGGTCCGCGCAAACATGAAGACGGCGTGTCATTCACTCGCTGACAGCAACAATAACAAGTGCACCACACGAAACACTAACAAAGTCAAAATGGCCCTAGCGGAAACAGTCTTGGAAACGGTTCTTTTCGGGCAGGTGGCCATAAGTCAAGTGGCTTCTGGGTGCCTCGGTTCCTGATGCCATCCCGCGTGAAAGTGCCGCCGTGTTTCGCCACTCCGAGGCAGATCTTGACCTCCGCCGCGCCGCGACGCCGAGGGAGGAGCGGAACGGGAAGGGGGATGCTGCCATGCTGCCAAGTGCCGCGACAGGACGTCGTCGCCGTGCTCCTGTTCGTGTCCAGGCCGCGGAACCGCGCGGAACGCCGTGTGTCTTTTTGCAACCGCGGCCACGTCGAGCACGTCGAGCACGCCGAGCCCCCGGCGTGCCCGGCCCGGGCCGTCTCCGCGTTGCCTTCGGTTGCCACGACGAACACTAGTGGAACTGAAGCGTACTTCTGCGTCTTTCTTCAAGCGCAGTTGTCCGTCCCGCCCCTCTAGCTACATGGGCGCATTTCTTCCTTACGCTTCACTGGAAGTGCATGGCCTTCAAGCGTACTTGTATGCGATAGTTATCTAACCTTACCTAACGTTTACCATTGAATTGACGGCACAATTTTCATCCCGCCTCTGCTTCGCCGTGCGATTTGGACGAGCGGTTTGGCGTTGTCTGTCTCGCACCCTCGAGAGCCATGAGAGCGACAGACAGCGACGAAACGACTCTTTCTGAATCGCTCGACAGGAATGAATGTTTAACGTGCTTGTTTCGGGAAGTGCGTGGAGTCGCTTCTGTTCCTTTTCCCCCTTCTACCTCTCTAATTTCACCGGGAATCCAGGAACTTTGACGTCTCGTTGAAACGGATGTGACAAAATGCCCAGCTCTTTTGAGCATCGCGACTAGTTCGATTCAGACAAGCCAAGTCACATTCAAACGCTTGTAACGCAATGCTCAGAAGAACGCGTTATTCGTCACATACTTTCCAGCGTGATGTCACGGTCCAGAGGTCCCAGTGTTGTCCACTGTGTTCAGGTGAGAGGCCGCTTTGGCGTGAGAATCGCGATGCACGCGGCGCCACGAGGGTGCTCGATGACCCTCGCAGTGCGGCCCGGGCCCTTTTGCTCCACTTTGGGCGGGGACTAGGCCAGCGCTTCCGACGCCCCCCCCCCCCCCCCCCCCCCCGCGCGACGCCGCGACGCCCTCATGCCGCGCTCGCCTTCCTCGTTCCGGCGTCCCGTATTGTCCCGAGGAAGCGGCGGGCGGACAGGCAGGCGGACAGACAGACCGATGTGTGTCCCAAGAGCGGCGGCACTGGATGATGCGCCGTCCGGCGTTGTGATAGCCCCGCCGCCTGCCGTGCTACCAGGACGACCGGGACGACCACGGCGCGGCGAGTGCCACCGGCGGCCACCGGTCACTTGCACTACAGGATGAGGAGGATGTGGATGCGGTGGTGCAGGGGCCTCAGAGCAGCCCGGCAGTCACAGACGCCCTTCAGTTCCGGGGCTTCTTCTGCGCTCCGAACAAATCCCCGCCATCGGCATGACGCTCGCCAACCTCGGAGCCTTGCTCGGAGCCGAACTTGGCTCAATCTCGCCAAAAAGTGCATCGTTTTTACTCCTTTGATTTACCAGTGATGTCACAGCCACACCAGCCCCTTTACAGTCTGAGAACCACGTCGTCGTGCGTCCTTTCCCCGATTCCCTCGGCCAGAGTGGAGGCAAACGAGGGGCCTCGCGTGTCTCGGGCCGTGGATCCGACGTGGATCCCTGGATGTGGGTCGGCCGGCCCGGTCCTGCACAATCTGTAAACAGCAATGCCTTCGGCACGCGCGGCTCCGTCCCCGCACGCAAAGAGTCCCCGAGGCATTTGCCGAAATGAAGGAATGCTTCCAAGGATTCTTCTTCATAATCCGAGCGAAGTCTTTGTGGATTTGACAATGCCTATTTCGGCGTCTCCACGAGGGTCGCTGCCTGCAGCAAAGCCTCTCTGCCACTCCTCACTGCCACTCCCCTATTCCAATACGAAGCCACCGTAAAACAATCCGCAGCACTCCATGAGGCACACCGATGTTGCATAGTGCCGGCCGAAGTGGTACTCGGAGGTCAGTGAGCTCATTGGCTGGCGGTGACGCCCCAATGCTGCCGTTGCATCAAAGCAAACAACACATTTGCAACAGTGTGTCAGTAAACTTAGCTGGTCGTGCTTTTGTCCCCCTCACTGTCATTCGACATTCTAGTTGCAATACCCACTGTCTATACTTTGCAATAACATCTTAAAAAAAGAGCATATGCGAATTTTGTTTTAAAAAAATTCTAATATACTACAAATTGCTTTCTTATTTACTGAAGGGCGTCTGTTGCAATGACTATAAGCTAAATTATGCCTTTGGGAGTTTTCATAGTTCATGCCCGGAAGAGTTGAGTCGCACTTCAAGGCCACCCACCAGACGGTCGTGCATGTCTCTTGAACACTGTAAAAGATTTGTTCAAATCGACTTCAATTTGGTTCTCAGTTAATATTGACTAAGAGAGTAGCTTACGACTTGTTGGTCAAAACTCTTTGTCTTACCTTTTGCTTCACAGTGTGCCTTCTTGCAGCTGGAGCAGGCTCCCCCTGCCTCCGCCCCGTGCGGCATTGGTCTGTCTTTTGGTCCGGGGCATGACCCAACTCCCCAACTCCGCCCGACTCGACGATGTCTCGCCTTTCCGTGCGTGCGCTCGACAAGCGCTCGACCCAACATATTCCAGTCGCGCTGTCCCTTGATGCCTTGAACTTGGCGGAGGCTGCGAGTCTCCGAACGAACGCCCTTGGCGGCCGGCCATCCGACACCGCGCGCCGTACGTGCCCCCCCCCCCTTTCCCCGTTCCCTTCGGGACGCGGGACGCAATGCGAAAAGGAAAGTGGCGCTTGGCTGCTCCGCCGCTCCGCCGCTTGGCTGCTGGCGCTACGGTGCGGCATGCGGTGCGGCATGCGGGAGGCAGAAAGACGAAGCCCGCGGCAGAATAACCACGCCAATCATGTCGTACGGGGGGCTCGCTGCTGCCGCACTGCAGTCGCCGACCCGCCGCCGACCCGCCGACCCGCCGAGCGCAGACAATGGGGGCGTAATGCCCCGTAACGCTCCGCCCGGCCGAGCGGTTCGGAAGCGTCAGCTCTGTCTCTGTCGCACTCGCGGGGCGCTCCGGAAGGGTGCGAGAGAGACAGAGCGACAATACCGCTCTTCCGAATCCCTGCCCTGGCCTGCCCTGAGCACACCCGAGATTGAGATGCACGGCACTGCCGGAGAAGCGCCCCGATGAAGTCATCCTCCCGCGAAGGCATGCACGCCCCTTTATGGACTTCCCCGGCCGCGCTCGGCCGCGCCAATAAAACCGATCGGCGAGATGCGCGACCCGGGTCTCGTCTCGGCGACCGCCTGTCGCTGGAGCCGCCCGCCGTGCGGCCCGCGGCGAAGGCCGGCGAAGGCGAAACGTCATTCGGCCGTTCTGGGTGTCTCTGGGTCATGGGTGGCCCTCGAGGTGGCCCTCGAGGTGGCCCTCGAGGTGGCCCTCGAGGTGGCCCTCGAGGTGGCCCTCCACCTCCCCCGCCTCGCTTCCGGGCGCCGCGGGCTGTTGCCTCCATGTCGCCATCCAGACGCACTACTCCCGCATCTGTAAAGCAAAGGTGGCTACACTGTGGCGTGGCATGCAGGACGCGCAGCACCCACTTCCCCTAATTCGGTCGTCGTTGGGGAAGGGCAGTGCGGCCTAGCCGGGCCCAGCCGGGCCCAGCCCCTCCCCCGCCGCCTCCTCCCCGCACTTCCCCCTCGCAGCATCAGGCGGCGCGTGCCGGCCGGCCGGGCAGGGCAGGCAGGGCAGGCCCAGCTTGGAGGGGGCCGGGCCCGCCGCGGCGTGCAGCCTCAGCCTCGCCGTGCTGCTGGGGCTGCGGGGCTGACGGCGGGGCTGACGGCGTGCCCGCAGTGCCGCGGCTCTGCATGACGGCGGCCTCGCGCCTCGCGCCGCGCGCCTCGGTCAGTGTCATCGGCGGCGGCGGCTCGCCCGGACCTCTCCTCGCGCCTCCCGACACCCGACCGCGAAGGTGCACACAACCCCCTGCCGCTGGCATCACGCCGTGTTTCGGCTTTCACCCGCCTGCGGGAGATTGGTTTCCATCTCAGTTTCCGTTGCTCTAGTCAGCGAAAACGAAATCGGAATCTAGCGGTCAGTGTTGCCAGCGTAGGGGCGTTGTGGTGACGTCCGATTCGGTCTGTGCAGGTGCAATCTTGTGTCAACATCACCGCCGTGGATATACAACACTCATCTCCATCGCCAGCAACGCCCGCAGCATCACCTTCCCTGTGTGCTCGTACCATCAGTGTGCAGTTCGTGTGCGTTTATTCAACAACAACAACAAAATCGACAACAACGGCAACATCAACAACAACAGCTCCTCGTTGTGATTCCGCGGCCGTCCCGGGGGACATGTGCTGCGGCACGGCGGCGCGATGACGGCGAGGACGGGACGCCGCCGCGCAGAGGAGACTTGGGCGGTGGGACGGACAAGAACACCCAGCTAACGCCCCCGCGCGGGGCCGACCCCCGGCCGCCGCCATCCTGGACGTCGCCGTGGACGGGCCCTCGCGGCCCGGGCTGTTACCCAACAGCGTGGCCGCGGGGGTCCGCGCGCGCGCACGGGGCGTGAACGCCGCCACGCCACCCCCGACCGCCGCGGCCCGCCCCCGCCCCCGGCGCCGCGGAGCCATGGGAAGCTGGGCGGCGGCGGCGCTGCTGCTGCTGGCGGTGGCCGCCGACGCCCTCGCGGACACGCAAGGTAAGCTTCAGCTGCGTCTTGAGACGCCGCGGCGTCGCCACGCGTCGCGGCGCCGCTATCTCCGCGCCATCTTCACCGTGGCTGCCTGGCTGCGTGGCTGCCTGGCTGCGTGCGTCCCTGTCTCTGCCTCGATGGCCCATCTCGGGGCGGGGCGCGGTGCGGACGGATAAAAGTTGCCCGGCTGTGGTACAACTCGCTTTGAAGTATGGACCCCGGTTCGGTCCACGTTTCCTCTCGCACCGCAGCGCAGCGCGGTCTGCTCGACTCTCCCTTGCGTGGACCCGGTCCGCACCTTTGCACCAGAGTGCTCCCGGCCAATGCCGCTGAGTAAGGCGCAGACCGAAATCCAAGGACGAGTCCAAGTCCAACGACCCCGCCGTGCTCCTCGTTACATCCGAGGCAAACTTTGTCCCAGCCAAACAACACCGATGCGTCGCCCGCCAGGGGGCCATGCCCGGGCCACGCCGTGCCGCGCCATACCGGGCCGGGCGGGCCGGGTCGGGCCGGGCGGTGCGGTGGTGCCAAAGCTGAGGGTCTGCATTCTTGTTTGCGCCGGGCGGTGCTGGCGGTGTGGCGGTGCTCGCGAGGTTTATGACCCTGGCCGTGCGTGCCTCGCGAGTGTGCGCCGGGCATTAGGGGCCGAAGGGGTTCCCGCGGGAAGAGGGGCAGCGGAAGGGGAGGGGGAGTGGTTTGAACAACTCCCTTGTCGCGGTTTTTCGGTTGGGCAAACGCTGCGCACGTGCGTGATTGGGGGGGGGGGGGGGGCGTGGAACCGCACCGCCCGCCAAGGAAACGCCGCGGCCGCCAAGCCGCCAAGCCGCCGGGGGCCACTTGACCGATCGCATCACCGCGCCGCTCGCGTCGTCCGGGAGGAAGGTCACGGGGGAAAGCAGGCGGGGTTCGAACCCGCGACCGGCCCGCGACCTGCACTGCGAAGATGCGCCAAGTTGACCTGTCCGTCTGTCTCTCTTCAAAGCCCCCACACTGCCGCACCGCCTTTCGCACGGTCGCCGCCCCGCGCGGAACGTGCACGCGAGATTTCACACGCTTGAACGGTGCGTAAAATATGCAAATTAAAAATTTTGCTACTGGAGAAAGGCGCTTGATGCTAAAGTCCCCAGCCTCGCCTGGTGAATGGTGATCGCAGTTCCCCTCATCTTGCACCCGCGACCGATGGGCATCGAACGGGTAGCTCACCGGGCAAGTCCCTCCAGTCGGGCCAGTCCCAGTGCCGGGCCCCACCAGCCACACCCAGACCGTGGTACACAGCACCGCCGCTTTTCAGCGCAGTGCTCATTGCCAGTCACTACAGGGAACATGAGCATCGAATAATGATTCGTCGGTGAAAGGAAAAGTCCGAACATGGCGTCTCTGGCCTGTCCTGTCGGTGGGATTCTACCAGTACACTCGAAAAGTCTCACGCTGAATTTTTCTGAAGTGTATAAGGAAGTGAATTGGTGTAAAGAAAAAGAAGAAACACTAAGCAAATGTGTTTCTATGACGAATCTTTTTCTGGATTTCAATGTCAGATATAAAGGACATGATTTCCATCACGTTTACAGTGTGCCAGCGTGTGGGCGGACGGCACCGCGCACCGCGATCACCAAAATGCCGTCATTTGTGTCGTGCACGCAGGTGCATCTCTCCCGGCAGTTTAGTGGCACCGGCTGTTGACACTAAACCACTCGGAAGTACCGAAAAGCAGCCTGTCTGTTTGACGGGCGGCTAAAGCGCTCGAGCGCCGGAGCACCGAGAGCACCACAGTCCAGTAGTCCCCTCGTCCGTTGACTCATCGCCCGGTTGTGTCACGCCGTTCAACCGTATCGGCCCGGACGGCTGTGGGCTGCTGCTGCTGTAGGTCACAAGCCGCCATCCAAAACACTGCCGGGCATCGTCACAGAAAGAAGGCGAAATAAAAACAAAGATTGAAGTGTGGCATCTCTAGGGCTTCCGAGCTCAGTTCAGCAAAGTATAGCACATGCGATGATTCGTGGGAATGACAAAAAATGATAAAAACTTGTAGTAAAAGTTATGTAAAATTAACGGCAGGCGTAGACGATGGGCACCTGTGGATGAAAATACTAACACACGGAGTGCGTGGTGGCGCTGCAGTCCACCCCGGGCCGTCCCGTGCCGCCCCCACGCGTGGTCGCGCACACACCACCGCCCCGCGGTCACGGTGGTCGCGGCGGTCACACAGCTCCAGCCGCGCCACCGCCCGGGCATGGCCAGGGCGCGGTGGCGCGCCTCCCCACAACTGGGTCGCGACTCCATAAAGCACATCGACGCGCATTATGTACGAATTTAACGTGAGGGGGCCGGCCGTATACTTACGCAACGAGGCCGGGTCCGCGGGTTCGGGCCGCGGAAACCCTCGGCAGCGAGAGTGTTCATGCCTAGGGACGGGCCTGGCTGGCGTCGCCGTCGTGGCGGCGCCGTGGCGGTGCCGTGGCCGTGCCTCGCGGCGTCCAAGTTCGACCGCCATGCATTCGGCGGTTACGTCATTTCATGAACGGCGCGCGACAGCTGTCTCATTCCAAACCAGAGTGCTTTCGCCGCTCTGTCTCTCTCGCACCCACGCGGAACGCCTGAAAAGTGCGCGGGAAACGGAGCGACGACAGAGCGGTTCGGAATCAGACTCCCGAGCGCGGCGGTTTGATTTAAGGCTGCGCCTGTCTGCCTGGGACGCCCGCGACGCCCGGGACTCGGGCGAGGTACACATTGTCGTTGCGCGATTTACTTTTCCTCCCGGATTGCATCCTCGCGGTGGCGCGCGCGGCGCGGGGACTTTAAGAGAGGCTCTGTCGACACAGCCGACACGGGTCTGGCTTCGAATATTGACACTAGTAATGCTGTCCCCGCCCACGCTACACTACTTTTACGGCGCTCCCGCCGCTCCTGACGCGCGCGCCCCCGCCCCCGCACTCACCGCCGCCCCCGCTGCCGCCCCGGCTGCCTCCCCACTGGCGCCCCCCGCTGCCGCCCCCGCTGCCACCCCCGCTGCCACCCCCGCTGCCACCCCCGCTGCCACCCCCGCTGCCGCCCCCGCCGCGGCGCCTGAGCCCCGAGGGGGCGTTGCGCAAACTATTTAGCAAACTCTTGGCCTGCAGTGTTGTTTATTAACCTCGGACCATCACACGCGCCAAGCGCCCTCAAGCCGGCGTCTGGACGTACAATGTAGGGCCCGCCGCGGTGCGCAGTCAGACGTCCTGCGTCCACGAGTCGGCCGAAGCGCCTTACGAGCGCCGGGTAGGCAACCACGCTGCACAGCCGTTCGACGGGACTGCCTACCCCGCAGCCTGCAGGCGTCCGGTTGGCCCATTCATGCGCGCGCACGGGCCCTCGCATTGTTTCCGATGTGTTGGTGTGTGGAGAGGAGAGGGGGAAGCTCGCGTCGTGTTGTTGACTTACTCGTAGAAGCAGTAGCCGTCGTGGAGGTCATGCTGACAACACGAGGCCACCTTGAAAATATGGCGATACTAATGAGACGGCCAAACGCGCAGGGCGACGATGGCGCCTGCTGGAGTGCGCCGTGTGTTTGTAGTGTGCCCGGCCGGCCGGTGGAGAAACACTCGCAAGGGCCTTGCTGCTGCGCGTGGCTGCGCCTTCCCACATTCGAAATGACTGAGGCGTAGGCGGGTTGGGAACGCAGCGGATCGCAGCGCTGCAAGGCAGTGCAAGGGTGGCGGTGATGACTGCCGCAGTAACAGAAGTTGCTGCTTTGCACTTCGCTCTGCGCCGCTCCACTGCGCGCCCCAAGTACCTGCTCAGAGCTCAGCTCCTGGCTCGCGCCCCTCGCCCCTCGCGCGAATGTCCTCCGCGCCCTTTGAAGCCATTCCGGCAAATTGCTTGACGAGTCTCGGCCCGGCCAGGCCGGCGAGCAGCGCGGCGAGCCAAACGAACCAAACGCCTCGGCGATACACTGTCAACGCCGCGGCCGACCCACTACACTACTGGTATTACGCGCCCGCCGCTCGTCGCGGCGCAGGCGAACTGACTCCGACACGGCGCTCGCACCCATGCAGAACGGTCCGTGAGTGCGAGAGAGGCGGAGCGACAATCGTCCCGCTGCAACTTCTCTCTCTCTCGCTCGCACTCGCAGTGACACTCGCGCCGCGCGCCGCGTACAGTGCGAGTGCAGTGCGGCCGCCAGAAAAACCTTTCACTCTCGATAGTCCGGAGTGGCTGCAGCGGTGGCGGTGGTAATGGCAGGGGTCGGCGGCGTGGAGCGGAGTAGCGCGGGGCAGCGCAGCGCGGAGCGGAGCGTGAGATGAGCGCGACGGAGAGGGACGGAGGGAGAGGGACGGAGAGGCGGCGGGTGTGTCCGGCTGCCCGGTCGTTGCCTCCCGGGGACCCTCGCTTAAGGCGCACTCACTCACTCACTCACTCACTCACTCACTCACTCACTCACTCACTCACTCACTCACTCACTCACTCACTCACTCACTCACTCTCAAACTCACTCTCACTCACTCGCACAATCACGCACCGATACATACACTGGAAACTCAAGAGTGTACTGTATACATGTATACATGGTCGATATGTACATTCTTTTATACAGCATGCCTCTGTGCCAGGTAGATAATAGTTGGCGTCAACCTACACTCCTCAGTTTCCAGAGCACTCACAAAAACACTGACACTCACACTCACTCTCAAATACACTCACACTGACGCCCTCACTAAAAAACGCGCAGTGCTCTGGCCGAATATAGAATGGCATTGCTGGGCATTGCTGGGCACACGGTAAAAGCAGTGTTCAGTGTCGGGGCCGCTTTCGTTTTCGAACCGGAGTCAGGGTCCGCCAGGGCGGGAAGAAATCGCGCACTAGGCGGACTAGGCGCCGGGTGGACGTGGACGAACAGACGGACGGAGAGGCGGACAGACAGACGGACGGACGCCGACGACCGGGCGCAACTAGTACAACACCCAACCGCGTCACCCAGAGTCCAGAGTAAACCTCTCTTGGATTCCTCCTTCTCCTTGCTCCGCCCGCCCCGCCCCGCCCCGCCCCGCCCCGCCTGGCCTCCGATTCCGCTTTCCCATTTCATCGGGGCCTCGTTCGCTTCACCTCCAGCGTAGCAATCACACAAAAAGTATTTCTGCGCAGGACCCTCCTCCTTCACAGGGGGGGGGGGGGTAGCGTCGGCGGCCCCGCATCTCAGCGGGATCCAATGTCCCCGGTGGTGGCGTCCCTTACGCCGTGAGGGAATGAGAGAGGAAGATTATGGCGATTGGATTTGTTTTACTGGAGCTGCCAAAAAAACAAACGCTGACAACATTTTTGCATGCGCTTGATATAGGAGTGTGTTAGTAGTGGTACAGCCAAGTTCACTTTCAGCGGTCCGCGTTTCTCGGTGAGCTTCCCCCTCCCCCTCCCGCGCAACTAGCCGGACGGACTGGTCTTGTGAGCCTCGCGGGGCCTGAGGGGGCTGCGGGGCTGCGGGGGCCTCGCCGCCCGGCGCGCCCTTTTGCTACTTTACAGCCGTGACGATTCGTTTGTTGCCATGGCAACACAACAATGGCTGATTGTTGCGGGGCAGGCCAGGCAGCCCAGGCTGGCAAAGGGGCAGACGGGCAGGCAGCATCTCATCCGGGCGCGACATGTGCTGGCCCGCCCCGCCCCGCCCCGCCCGGCCTCGCCCTCGCCGGCCAAGGCCCTATGGCAGGCTAATGGCTCGTCACGGCCCGGGGAGCATTTTGTTGGCATTATGATCTTACTTCTCTCTCTCTCTCTCTCTCTCTCTCTCTCTCTCTCTCTCTCTCTCTCTCTCTCTCTCTCTCTCTCTCTCTCTCTCTCTCTCTCTCTCTCTCTCTCTCACGCACCGATGTTCCGCCTTTGTCGCGCGAACCAGCCGTCGGCCCGGGGTCACGCATCGCTTTCGTGTCCTCCAGCGCTCCGCCGCTCCGCCAGTGCGGGCGTTGAGAGTAGAAAGTCCAAAGTCCAAAGAAACCCACTCGCTACCGAAATCATTTCGAAACGTCTGGGAACGGAAAGGGGAAATGCAATAATTTGGCGGCCGCGACGACGGCGCCTCGCGACGCCACGCCGCCATGCTCAAGGCGCCCAAGGCAGTGGCAGGGCAGGCAGGGCAGGCAGGCCGATCACCGGAATTAAGCACGCTGAGGGAGACCGCCCCGCCCCGCCCCGCCATGCCGCGCCAGTCCACCAAGGGCGTTCATGGCATTCATGGACTGCCCCGGATTCGTTGTCCAAGCGCGCTCCACCCGGGAGGATTCACTCCTCTGGATCGCAAACAGAGCAATCGCGCGCTATGCTACGCATGATCACGCAGTATGCTCCTACGTATTGTGACCTTGCCGAGTTTTTGGTCAGTGAAATCGTCATCTTATCACGCTTAATAACCCATTTTCAGCGTAGACTAGTGCGTTTGTGAATACCCTCTCAGCCCCTCGGCCTGCTCCTTCGGCGGCCGGCGGGCCAGCGGCTTTGGTGGCGCGCGTGGCGCGGTGGCGACGACGTGCCGCGAGGAGGGGAAGGACTCGGAGCCCCTTCGCGGAACGGGCGGGTCGCGTTGACGCAACACGGACGACGGGCGTCGCGGGGCGTCGCGGGGCGTCGCGGGGCGGCGCCTCTGCCTGCCGGTGTGCCGGACGGACGCGCGGTGCTGCGTAGTACAGCAGACAGACAACGGAACTGATTCCCGATCGCTCCCAACGCATTGTGTCGGCGTGGAAGAGGAAGCGCGGAAGCCGAGTCGGCCGGCAGGGAAGGTGAGGCGGGGCCTGCGAAATGGACACCGCTTTGCGGGTCACACACGGACGGAAAACAAAAGAAAATGGAAAACTCTTCTTTGCCCCGTTTTCCACTAATATGCACACCGGGGGGGGGGGGGGGACTCGTGAACAAAGCTGGTACCAACACCTTTTTCACGAACTGGTTCCAATTTAGTCGCAAGGTACCGTACAATGCATTTTCGCACAGACAGACGACGATCTGTCCACGCTGTTGCATCCGATGACGACAGAACTCGGATAGATTCCACGAGAGATGCACGCGCCGCGGGAAGCTCAGTCTCCATTTCCAGATCTCGAATCTCGCGTCGCGCCACCTGTGGCTTCCGCTTTGGTTGTTTCCCAGCCACCTTTCAAGTGCTTCATTCCTGTTGATGTTGTTGATGTTGTTGTTGACCTGGTCGCGTGGGCGTGCGCGGTGCGAGGGAGTGGCCGGGCTCATTACAGTGGCGTATCGTCCTCCGATAAGCGCCGTGATTGGGTGCCACAATGGCTTGCAGCATGCACCGGGACTTCCCCGCCCCGCCCCTCCCCACCAGCGCGGCCAGCGAGTCACTTTATTGAGCCGGTGATATTACCGGGGCGGGGCGGGGCGGGGTGGCGCCGTAAACAGGGCGATAGTGCGGCGGACTCGGGCGGATCACGCCGGCCCGCCGTGCCGTGCCTTGCCGTGTCACCCACTTCGCTCTTCGTGCCATGCGAGCTCACTTTATTTTTTTTCCGGCCCAGATTACATTGTAGCGGCAAAACTGGTGGCCGCCTGGCTCGACTCTCGACTGACCACCACGTGTCGTTCTTCTTTCCGTTTCGCAGGCAGCTCCTCCCCGCGGAGTCACTACTGGGCCAAGGACCAGCTGCGCAGCCAGCCCGGCAAGCCGCCTCCGCTGCCGCCGTGGTCCTCCAGCGAGTCCTCCAGCGAGTCCTCCAGCAACCACAGCGACCCCTCCGTGCCATACAGCGCCTCGCCGCTGCACAGCGTGCACAGCCTGGTGCAGTCCCTCAACGGCACGGTCCAGGGCCGCCAGCTCATCCCCCTGCTGCTGGTGGAGGGCGGCGTGGAGGCCTCCGCCGCGGCCAGCACCGCCCTGGACGGCGACTACCTCCTCGGCTACAGCCACAACCCCTGGGGGCGGTCGTCCGCCTTCAGGGACGTCCTGGACGACCTCGGCAGCGCCACCACTCAGTGAGTTGACAGCGGCGACAGCGGAGACACTGGACTAGAGCGGCCGACGGTGACGTCATGTCGGTGACGTCACTTCTTCGTCAGGCCCGGCAGCGCGGCAGCAGCGCGCGGATGCATCGACCCGGCGGCGAGCGGCGTCCGAACGCCTGCGAGGCTCGGGGTAGGCCGGCCCGCCGAGCAGGGCCGCCTCGCGTAGTTGCCTACCCTGGATTCCACAGGCGGTGTGCCGCCGCCGCCTGTCCCCACTGGTAAAACTAAATGGTGTCAATACACGAAGACCCTTCGCTCTTCTTGAGGCGTATTCAGAAAATACCCCCGTTACACACAGGCAGGAGGGGTGTCAGGCTGCAAGAAGAGTGTAGGGCAGAACCCTTTGAAGAAAGAAAAGCCCGCACGCTGGTTTTCCCAGTGCCGCCGCTTTCTATTCCGATCCCGGTCCGTCGCGGTCCCTCTTTCAGTCCCCGGTCCGAACTAATTCACCCGGGCCTGCATGTGCTTCGGATGTCGGCCTCACGTAAGAGGCGGTGCGCTGGCGGGCCCAGCTGGACCTCTGGCTCGGCTAAGGGCCACCGCCCCCCTCACCCTCTTTTCCCCTTTCTTCCTCCGCCCTCGCGAAACCGTCCAAATTGACTCGGTCCGCCCCCCGCCCCCCGCCGGCCGCGCCCCGTGCGCCCCGGCAAGCGCTCTCCTCGATCTCCGAAGAATATTCCACCTGATACGACGCGCTCTTGAAGGAGGGTTCGTTCCGTCAGCGAGGCGGGGGGTGGGGGGCGCTGGGGCGCTGGGGGCGGTGCGGGGGCGCTGGGGGCGGTGCGGGGGCGCTGGGGGCGGTGCGGGGGCGTAGACATCCGGCCGCGGGAAGGACTGGGGCAAGGACAACCTTTCCTGGCTTTCCGCTGCAGGCCGCCCGGCGGGGCCGGACCGGGCCGGACGCAAGACGCAACCGGGACTGCTGTCCTAATTGAAAGTCAACAGCGCCTCCATCTGGACCTGGTCACCCAAATTCGGACGAACGAGAAAACACCAACCAGGGGACGGAGGCAGTGCGTCATTGCCTCCGGCGCTGCTATTCGAATCGCCGCGCGCACATTTTCTTTAATATTGTTTTCTAAAAACAAATGTCGTATTTTTCTCAAACATGTCTGATGTCGTGACTTCTCGCGGCGCCTGACTGTGCTTTTTCGTTCCAGGGTGTCGGCGGCCAAGCCGGGCAAGCCGGCCCAGCGGCGCAGCCGGCGCTCCGTGCTGCACCTGTACAACATGCTGGTGTGCTCCACGGGCTGCGACCCCATGGCCTACAAGGGCTACGGCTGCTACTGCGGCTTCCTGGGCTCCGGCTACACCACGGACGGCATCGACAGGTAGAGAGGCTGGCCGAGGCGGCGGGGCTCCTGCGGCCCCCACCCCCTTTTCAGCGCCTGATTTTCGTGTGCGTTCCGTCATCCCCTGCGAGGGCCGCTCCCCGGGGTCCCCGCTATGCAAATGGCCGCCAGCCGGCCGTCACTCACGCGGCCGCGAGGGGCAGGCCGCCGGGGCCGCCGGGGCCGCCAGGGCCGCCAGGGCAGGCGTGGCAGGGCCGCCACACCTCCGGCAATTTATGCACGCAGAGGCTGGCGGCCCCGGCCGAGGGTTCAACTCCCTCCGACAACTTCATCTGTCATTTCTTCTCCTTTTTTTGGCGTTCGTCGCGGAACACGGAATGTTTCAGCTATTACTTGGATGGGTAGGGTAACCTTGGGTAATCTGGGCAACCGAGCCTCGACGTCTGGGCAAGCGGGCGAAAAACGAAGCAGAGGCGCGCTTGCCTGGGCTTGCCTGCAGCCCCAGGCCGTCGGGAGGGAGACGCGGGAGACGGGCGTATCTTCTGACCGGCACGGCCAAGTTAGCCTGCGCGAGGCTGCAGCAGCGAGCGCGCGTCCCCCCGGGCCTCGGTGCTGCGGAGGACAGGGGTGGAAACAAACTACACCTAATGCTTGAGCTTGTGATGAATTCGCGTCGAGGCACTTTGGCTGACCGTTGGTAAGCCAGAGAGGCCGGGCCTGGCGGGGGAAGCCCAGGGCGTGCGAGGCACGATCGACAGGTGCGGGGCGGGGGGCCTGAGCGGGCCTCAGCCGGGCGGCAGGCATCATGGCACCTGCGAGGGCTGGTCTGCTGGTCTATTCTTACCTCCCCGAGAGAGAGACGCCTCCTTCCCCCCGTCTTGCCCTTCCGCGACCTTGCCGCGCCCAGCCAGCGCCCAGCGCCCAGCGCCCAGCAGCCCGCACTGCACCCACGCCTTCATTTCTTTTTCATTTTCGCGAGCGAGACTGAAAGTCCGGTCCGCGGTTTCCCTGGAAAACTCGCCATCCGCGCGAGGCGCGCGAGGCAGCAGGCAGTGCGGGCAATAAAAGCGCGCCAACTTGCTCCGCCTCCGTAATTCGGGGAAAAATAACAGCGAAGGAAATTCGCGGAGGGCGGTTCGCGTCTCCCGCGAGACGCGCGGCCGGCGAGGACGAAGACGCGGGTTCGAATCCCCACCAGGGGTTTGCGGTGTTTGTTCCGCGGTGGTGGTGCAGCGCCGGCCCTGCCTGCGGAGGCCACGTCGGCGGCCCGGTCCGCGAGGAGGCCAAGGAGTGCACGTCCGAGGCCAGCTCCGTGAGGAGGCCATGGAGTGCACGTCGGCGGCCAGGTTTCCAAGGACGGCGGCGACCTTGGCCGCCGCCACTGGCAGGGCGCCACAGGGTCATTAGGCAGCCAGTCAGGTCCCCGCGCAGGGCTTCGTCGCTCTGTCTCTGTCGCACGCTCGGCAGCGACGAGAGCGCTGTTCGGAGGCAGCCTGCAGGGCTCCAGCAGGGCGGCAGCAGGGCGGCAGCGGGGCGCGGACTACGGACTTTTGCAGGCAGCCAAGCGCACGGCGTTATTGCCTTGTTGCCTCGGCGGAGATAAGCAAATTGCGATCTTAGTTTCGGGGCGATGGTTAGGGCCCTCAGCCAGCGCGGCACCGCGGCACGAGGGCAGGGGGCGGCTGGCGGCCGGGGGTAGGTAGCTCGCGGGGGTAGCTCGCCGCGTGGCGCGAGGCCCCGCCTAGGTACTCGCGGATAAAGGGCATGTTGTAATGACGGCCGAAAAAAGGCGCCCTGCCCCACGCGCAGCCCGGCGCAGCCCGGCGCAGCCCCCGCGGGGTGCCGTTGGCTTTCCACTGGCTTTCCATTGGCTTGCCGTTCGCGCTGCAGCACGCCGAGGGGACTCTGGCCGAAGGGAGCGCGCCCGCGCCGCCGGCCCGCACAATAATCAAGCTTGATGACGCGGCCGAGACGTGAGCTCGTCTCGGCGCCGAGCCTGGCTAATTTTACCGAAGGGCCGGCCCGACGCGAATCCCTCCGGGACCCGTCGACGCTCCACCCCCGCCCTACTGCGCCCCGCCGCAAGCCTCCCCCCCCCCCCCCAGCAACCCCCTGTCTGAGCCACGCCACGGCCACGCCACGGCCACGCCCTCGACGCCCCGGAGCCCCGGAGGCGTGCTCGCGGAGGGTGTCCGCGGCCGGCGAGTGTGGCAAGTTTTAATTTCTCCAACAACAAAGTGTATTTAGCTTGAAAGGGCGCCGGGGTGGAGGCGCGCGGCGTGGCGCGGCGTGGAGCGTGGCGAGGTTAGGCAGAGGGGCTGGCGCACTGCGTCGTTTAATCACAAAGTCGACAGGAAATGAGAGAGAAAAGAGAAAAACGGGCGGCGGGGGAACGGAGCGGCCGGGGGGCCGGGGCTGGAAGCGGCTGGGGGCGGGCCGGACACGCCGCAAGGACATTGTGACGACAGAAGCAGGGCTCTTCATTTTTGTTTCTCATTTTTTAATCATTTAATTTCCCTATCCCCCTCCTCAGGTGCTGCAAGATGCACGACTGGTGCTACGACACCGCCAGCTGCCCCATGTTCCTGGAGTACTTCGTGCCGTACCTCTGGAAGTGCTACCGCGGCCGGCCACTCTGCGGTGAGTCAGCCAATCGCCAGCCAATCGTCAGCCAATCGCCAGCCAATCGCCAGCCAATCGGCAGCCAATCACGGCCAAGCGGCACGCGTGCTCGGCGTGCTCCTGCCGACGATCCCCAGAGCCATAATACATACAAACGACTGAATGGCTCTCTCTCTCTGCCGCAGCGCTGAACGGGTCGGCGTGCTCGCAGCGGCTGTGCGAGTGCGACCGCCGCCTGGCCGAGTGCCTGCGCCACTACCCCTGCCCGCGCCGGAAGGCCGTGTGCACGTCGTCGCCCTGGCGCCTGCTGCAGAACCTCTTCATGCTGTGATAGACAGACCGTCACCCTTTCCCGGGGCATTCGTTATTGTTGTTGTTTTTGTTGTTGTTGACCTAGTGCTAATAAAGACTGTGCCACATAGGAAGTAGGAAAGAAGGCGCGGTGTGTGTACTACAATCTTTCTCAAAAGAAATGAGCCAGAGTCAGGCGATACTCCGCGCCCAAGTGACGTTCGATGCTGAGCATTCGGGCAGTCGCTTGCGCGTTGAGTATTCCAGGTCTATTTCTTTTGAGAGTGACTGTACATCTGCGCAGCCCGCCGTCGTGACTGGGGTGCAGTTGCATCCACACAGGCGTGGTGCGAACCCCGACGGAGGGAGCTTTCTGTTACCGTTGCCAAAGTGCAAAAACATTACATTTTAAGTTACCAAAACCTAGATACGTTAATTAATATAATGTAAAATGTCATCGCGTGTACGAATGTTCCCTTTTACTTCCAGAGTCACTACTGGTACAATACAAATTTCACAGTATGCTGGTGCAATTAAATGTATATTACCTCACTACATGATACAATGTTACCACTAACAATAAAGTACAAAATGAGAAACTATTTGCTGACTCGAGTCCACTTTATTTTTCAAAGCTGTGAGGGCCTTTTCCTGCCATCGTCGACGCGACGCGCAGCGCGCAGCAAAGCGTTCGGGTTCAAACCGAGAGCGTAAAAATCAGGCTTCCACTTTCCCCTGGGTGGAGGAAATTTCCTCGTTGAAAGGAAACTCAGTTTTCAAGTCAGCTCCACGAACTCTTGATGGAACGATCCTCTGAATTTATTAGAATAAATAGCAATATTAGGAAATTGGCAATACAGTCGACAGAAAAAAACAACATCGGATCTTCTCTTTATTGTCATTGTTGGTGTTGGCCCGACTGGCCGCCTGTCAGGCCAGGCAGTCCAAACAAGATGGTGGTCCAAGCAGACATGGACGAACCCGTCCGGGAGGATGAAAGTACCGAATTTATCGGCCTGGGCTGTGCCCTTGAATTATTTTCTGAATTGGACGAAGTACTGACTATGATCGATGAGTTGAAATCAATTTACACCGCCAAGAAGGCCACCGAGTGCGCTTATGAGAAGTTCCGTTGCGTGCTAACCCTGTACCAAGAGCAGCCCCATCTCCTAGACCCACATTTAGATACTATTTTAGAAAGAATAATATTGATTGTCAGGAACAAAGATGAGCCGATTGAACTCAAGCACGAGGCGTTCAAGTATTTACATGTCATTGTCAAGGTTCGAGGATACAAAGTTGTGGTCCGGCACTTGCCGCATGAGGTGAGTTGACAGTTTGTTGTCATTAATACGAGGTTATGTTTTCGCTGTATTAATCTTTTCTGAAAAAAAAAAATGACCGGTTATTAAATTACACGGTTGACATTTCACATCTGTCTGGTCGTTTAAGAACCTTTTGCCCACGGCCCAATGCGGTCAGTAAGATCAGTGGCAGCACCCATTGTTTACATTCTTCTCTGACCAACTGTTCTTTCATTTGGCAATGTCAGAAAGTTAACAATTTGAAACAATTAGATCAATGACTACTGACGATGTATGTAGTGTAAATACTAAGATCTATAACTTTGCGTCACTGGATTTTTTATGGTTTTGGTATTTTGTTGTGCTTCACATACATTATCGAGCCAGTTTCCTTGTCTTTCATTAATTTCTACCATCCTTCATATTGATTCAGGTGTCGGATTTGGAACCAGTTTTGGCTATGCTGGAAAGACAGAACCCTAAAAGTACTGAGACCTGGGAAACAAGATATGCGCTTCTTCTATGGTTGTCGATCATTGTCAAAATTCCTTTTCACATGACAAGACTTGATAGCTTTCAAGTTTCTCCAGGCCCTTCAACCTCAAGTTCAAATGAAGCTTCAGACCGTAGAACTGTAATTCAGAGGTAAGCTAGGGTGATCTAGCTGTTATTTGGCCGTCAGATGGCAGAGTCATGATCTTTTTACTAGGTATGAATTTGATTTTGCAGGCTTGTGGATGTGTGTAAATTATATATTCTAGTTGGCGACAGTTCACGGTTTCCTGCAGCATTCTTGGCTTCACACTTTTTTACCCGATCCGATGTGAAGGAGCAGCACCTTGGGCCCTTCATCTCCTTTGCATGTCAAGTAAGTAGTATAATTTTGATTTGTTTTAGGTGGCTTTTATTTTTTATCATTGCTTTTAGGTTGAATGTGTTCACACTCAGATCTTGTGCATTTGGTTCAGTTATTACATACGCAGTGCTCGTTTCAAAACCCAAGTACAATATCAATCTATTATTGTTTCAAAATCATCTGTGTCATCGGTATCCTTGTTAGGGCCTAGAGCACTACCAAAAGTTATTTCTTCTGGTTTCTCAGTATTTTCAATCTTGCAGTTGTACATCTGGTGAAGCTTTATTACATCCTTTTTGCTCAATGTCTTTCTTTGTCCAATCCTTATTCCCTCCTCCTGTTCCAAACAGATAGTGAAACCAGTTACGGTCAATAAAACTTTGATGTTGTTAAGATTGCACAAGAACCCTTCTCCTTCTTTGACTCACCAGTGGGACTATTGTCTTTTCTTCATTGTGAGAAAAAGCATAGGCACTGTAGTGCATAATACTGTGATAGTCATAGGTCACATTGAAATTTGTCACTGTCTCTTTCTCATACTTCTTGAAATTATGTTCTCTGCCTGATAAAAATAGAAAGTCCAATTAATATTTTCAAAAATTCACAGTTTTCTATCTATTTGTTTTCTCATTTACAACTGCTGAACTTACCTGGTTCAATGTTATCCCAAAGAATTTTGACGTATTGATCTCGTTCTGGAGCACTCTGTTGGTGATAGAATCCCAATGCATGTAGGAGCTCATGAACAACAGTTCCCTTTTTCAGGCATCCCTTGCCTGGCTTATTGGGCTTCAAAAATAAGGGCTGCTTCCCACCCTGCCGCCCAACATGGGATGAACATCCATGTGCTCCCTTACCCTGGAAACTCGGTCAATTATTTCCTGAAGTGTGGTCAATATAATTATGTAAAATTCAATTTTATTTCAACAACTCTCACCGTAATAAACACGTAATCCAATTCATAAGTTTGTTTTTCTCGCATGCTTATGCATGTCCTCTTGTGAAATTCTTCAATTGCTTGGTTTATGAGGTCAATCTGATCAGCATCTGCAAATCAGATGAATTTGATAGAGAAGTTGTATCAGGTTGTATTAGATCTAATTTAGTTCTGAAGTTCTTTACTGACCAAAGGTATCACTGTCTATTTTGTAGACAAGGGTCTTGTTCGGCCAGTAAAATGTATCACTCACAAGACCGTTTCTTATGCTGTCATCTGCACCTACTATTATATCACCTTCAAACTCTCCACTCTTTTCCCATGCATTTCCTAACTCAGGTGCGTCATCTGGAACTTGTAAATTTCTATGTATAGATTGAATAAACACATGCTTTAGGACTTTAATCATAGTACTGCTGTACCTGAATTACTGTCAAAATCACTCTCTTCAAACCAGTCTGTCCAGAAAAAAGATAACAAAAATTTTAACTGGGGCTTAGTTATTATGTTATTGCCTTCTGGGGCCTGCCTTGATAACCACTTACCTTCAAAGTCGTACAATACCCGGGCTTTAGTGAAGAAAAATAATGTTGCCAAGACGAAAGTCAATGAAAATATTTTCATTGTTCCCTTTCTTGCCCGGTACCAAATGTAACAGTGACCACCTCAGGTCCACTTAGGTGGCAGTGTTTTAGGCAACTGTTCCCTGGATACTGACCTGGGTGCCCAAATGTGCTTCCAAGGCAGCAGTGGGTGTAGGGGGAAGGGTGTAGGGAAGGGGTACAGATAAGTGTACTCCTCTGCATACCAATGCCAGGGTCTTATCATGGACAGCACTCTGGCTGTGTTGAGTGTTCTCTATCTCATGGAGGGTGTAAAGTGGGCCTCACTTTCTCCTAAATGAGATAAAACATGTAAAGACATGGTCTTTGTCGTTTCTGATGTTTTTGTTATGTTGTAGCTTGGGCAGACACTGTCTTTCTTGTGATAACATTTTTTGAAGATTTTTGAAATTTTGGCTTGCAGGTTGTGGGTTCAGAGAAGAGTGAAATGAGTGCGCAGTGTGGTGCTCTCTCTGCTTTGGCTGCAATTCTCAAACATGGTGATCGAGAGGATTTAATACCTCATGGGGCAGAACTTCTTCACTGGCTTACAAATGGCAACTACAGGAAAAGAGATGTTCCCCTAATAAGACAACTAGGAATGAAGGTCATCCAACGAATAGGTATATTGAAAACAAATAGAATTTTTTCAAAATCTTATTTCATTTAGCAAGTGTAACTTGTAACCGTTGCTTCTTTGTGCTTGCAGGCTTAACATTTTTGAAAATGAGAGTGGCAGCATGGCGTTATGATCGCGGTTGCCGTTCTTTAGCAGTAAATTTGAATGCTGGTGATGCTACTCATCAAACAGTGGGTCATCATGCTTCTTTGAATAATACTGATGAAGTGGGAGAGGATTTCGACATTCCTGAGGAAATTGAGGAAGTGATAGAAGAGCTCATTCAGGGCCTTCAAGACAACAACACAATAGTTAGGTAAAGTTATTTTGCATTTCTGCTTGTTTTATTCTTGTGCCATTATCAATTTTGTCTCTCCCTAGAAAAAAAGAGCTCCCCCCCCAAAAAAAAAATCATAATAAATTATATTGTTTTTGACTTTGCAGATGGTCAGCAGCCAAAGGCATTGGCAGGGTAACAGGCAGACTCCCAAAGGAACTGGCTGATGAGGTAGTTGGCTCAGTTTTAGAGTTATTCAGTGCACAAAACTCTGATTCTGCTTGGCATGGAGGTTGCTTAGCTCTTGCTGAATTAGGTAGGCACTCATAAATTTACTGGACTCATTCCCATGCGAAGTGTGGTATTTTAAAAGTGTGCTTTATTTCATTTCTGTAGGGAAACGAGGCCTCCTGTTACCTCAAAGATTAGATGAAGTTGTTCCAGTGGTCTTGAAGGCATTGTTTTATGATGAGTCCCGAGGTTATGTGTCTGTTGGAGCCCATATCCGTGATGCTGCATGCTATGTCTGCTGGTCCTTTGCGCGTGCCTATGACACGCGAGTTCTCCAGCCTTATGTGAAAGACATTGCCGGTGCTCTGGTGGTTGTGACAGTGTTTGATCGTGAAATAAATTGCCGTAGAGCTGCATCTGCTGCATTCCAAGAAAATGTTGGCAGGCAGGGATCATTCCCACATGGTATTGAGATCCTGACCACTGCAGACTACTTTGCTGTTGGTGTCAGGTCCAATGCTTACCTCAACATAAGGTAATTAATGTGAATTTTTGAAGTATTGATTTAAATTTCTGATTTTAAGATATGTTTGATGTATCTTTCTTTTTGCAGTCCGTTTGTTGCTCAGTTTGAAGAATATACACTCCCTCTTATAGATCATCTTGTCCAATACAAAGTAGATCATTGGGATGTTGCTATCCGAGAGTTGGCTGGAAAAGCCTTGCACAATCTCACACCAAAGGCTCCTGATTATATGGCCTCTTCAGTGTTACCACAACTTCTGAGTCGAACAACATCAATTGATTTGAATGCCAGGCATGGGGCCGTCCTTGCAATTGCTGAACTTATTCATGGTTTGGCCATTGTAGGGAAGGAAAGAACTCAGAGTATTCAAGATTTGGTTGGAGAAAATGTCATTCAAGAAATTTGTTCACTAGTGCTAAAGTTTAAAGAAAGAGGCCAGTTCAGAGGCATGGGCGGTGAATTAATGAAGCAGGCTTGCTGTGTGCTCGTAGAAAAATCTTCTCTTGCCCAGATGCCATTCCACGACCTCTCTATTATTGGTGAGAGTTTGATTATTCTATTGAGGTGCTGAAGACAATATTATGGTTGTAACTCACCATTCCTCTTTGTTCTTAGATGAGTACCAAGCACTTATAGATGACTGCTTGTCTAATGAGGTTGCCACTGTGAGGACAAGAGCTGTTCTTGCATTACCATCTTTCCTGTCAGAGTATTACCAACATGGTGATGCTGAGCGTTGCTCTCGTAAGCAACAAGCAGTTATTAGCTTGTACACAGGAAAATTAAAGGCCGTGAATAAAGCTACTCGAATGGGATTCTGCTTAGCAATTGGTGAGCAAATGCCATTGCAGTTATAATTAATTGAAACATCAATGCCCACAAAGTTGCAAGTGTATTAAATATTTGTTCCATTTGTTGTCAGGGTCACTTCCTGCTTTTATGCTGCAAGGGCATGTATCTTCAGTTATCCAGGCCTTAATCGGTTGTACTGAAATAACTGAAAACACATCAAAATGGGCTGAAAGTCGGAGAGATGCTGTGAAAGCACTCCATACTATTACTTCAACTCTTGGCATTGCACATGGAAGTAAACAGTCAGGTTGGTGCAGTGTAATGATTATTGTTGAATCTATCATGTTATTTTAAATCATTGGCAAGCTCTTATTGGATGTCCCAAATCTCTTGTTTAGACCCTGGGAAAGTGGGCAAACAATTAGTCGATGCTATGTATTCCTGCTTTCTACGATGTTTGGGAGAGTACACAATGGATAGCAGGGGTGATGTTGGAGCATGGGTTAGGGAAGCAGCTATGACAGCTCTTCAGGTAATGTACCCTCTTATTGTTTGTGTATTTTTTACTATCCTTCTTTTTGGAAAATAATATAATAGGAAAAAAATTGTTTTAATCTTCCACTTTTTTTTAAAAAAAATATTTTATAGGTTCTTACCTCACTGGTTGTAAAGCAAGACCCCTCCCTTTTAGATCCCGATGTCATCAAGAAAATGATGGCTGATCTTTCACAACAAGCTGTTGAGCGGATTGATCGAACTCGTTCTCATGCAGGGCGTGTTTTTAGCAGCCTCCTCCACAGGTAAAGTATTTATAATAACTCTTGGATTGTTTTGTCCTTTTAGTCATGTATAAATTATATAAAAGCTTTTTTCTCCTATTTTTGTAGTGACCCCGTGGTTCCTCATATCCCCCACCACTTGGATATTTTGCAACTGTTACCTTTAAATCTCTGCCAAGAAGAATTGAATTGGAATTCAGCTGCAGACACCTTCCCTCTCTTCATTCAGCTATTGAGGCTGGAGTCCTACTCAGCAAGTGTAATGCTAGGACTTGTAGCCAGTGTTGGAGGACTCACAGAAAGTTTGGTATGGCCTATAGCAGTCATAGCGGTTGTTCTTATTCCTAGAAGTGGTTATGAAGTAATAAGTTATTATTTCCTGCTGCAGGTCAAGCATTCAAGTTCTGCATTTTTTGCATACCTCAAGAATCTACATAGCACACCTGAAGAGTTGAGGAGGCTCTGTGGCATTATTGTCAATGTATTAATAGAATGGATCCATTCAGAAAGGCTTTCAGATTCCCTCCTCACTTTCCTGGACCGTGTTCTGGGTAGTGGATCAATACATTCCATTTTGGTGGACCCAGAAGTACCTTTCTCCTCAGAAATACTGAGGGTGGTAAAAGCTGAAGTCACACGTTCAAAAGATATTCACAAGCTTAATCATGTAGTTGATGTTCTCTGTCAATTAGTACAGGTGTGTAAAACATAATGCAAAAGTTATGTTCTTAATATAGAATTGAATTAGTGATTGCCTATTATTTTCTTCAACAGGTTCCAGGAGAAGTTTCAAGACGTTCTCTGACCCAGCTGCTTATATTCTTGTGCCACCGCTTTCCTAGGATTCGAAGCTCCACTGCTTCAAAGTTGTATGAGGCCCTAATGCTTTATGGAGATGATGCGGGGCTTGATCCAGTTGCTATTGATCAAGCCATGTCCCTTTTATCTGAAACTGATTGGGACCAACCAGTGGAGATTCTGCGGCCTCTTAGGAATGACATTTGTGAACATTTGGGCATACCACCACCTAAAGTTGTTCAGAAGAAGAGCAACACCTCTCTTGATACTTGAATCTCTGTGATTGGAGATGCTGCTATATGTTTAACTATTCCATTTTCACTCACTGCTTTCACATAAAGTGCCTTTTTAATGAATGACTGACTGTGTATTTTTAAGTATAGAGCTTTGCCTTATCATGCTGATGAGATCAAACAGATATCATGTGCCTATGAAATGTGGGACTGAAATTGATTGGATTTTACGAGTGATATGGGAGCCAATATTAATCTCCTTGGTTTAAGAGCACATCATCAACTTTCTTGTATGTAGGATATCTGCATTTTATTTTTTCCAAACAACAATCTGTGATGTGTTAAAGTTGTCTAAAATTAGTATATTTAAGTTGCTTACTATGTATGTTTGAGTAATTTTTAACTTATTAGATATTGTTGTTTCTTCTTTTCTCAAAAATATCCTTTGTACAATACAATACAACTGGTGAAGACAATGTCACTTAAGGTTGAATAAGCATAACATATCAAACAAAAATATTTTCTATTTAAAAAGATTGGTAAAAGGTAGTGCAGAAAATTTCATAACAAATTTAACCATATATTAGTGTAACACAAATGTTATCTCTAGCATCACAGCGCTCATTTCGTCCTTGTTATGTTGACAGGATTTATAACTTAGTGGAAAACATGCAAGTGAGCAAGTTCTGTTCATAAAGACATCTTCTTGTATGGACCTCAATAACAAAAGTGCGCCGATGGAAGGTGAACACTACTGACTCCAATCTGAAATTCACAGATATGAATTTTAGTAGTGACATCACTTCTAAGCAAACATTCACTGAGATGTCTTCTTACTTGGCCTCAGGTCACTCCTGACTTTCAAGACTTCTATGAGTTGAGATTAACTTCATTTGAAATATCTGCATAAGCCGCTCCAACACCAAAACCAGCTCCAACAACGACAGGCCAGCTTTTCCCTGTAATAGCAATAAGATTTCAAATCAGCTGGCGGCACCCTTGAAAATACAGCTTTAGGGAGACTCGAAAGCTCTCTGGGGAGAAACTCCTGGAGAGAAACTCGCCGCCCGAAGCATGGCCACAGCTGCAAGTTTCTCCCCAGAGAGCTCCCTGGAAACCCGGGTCAGAACGAAACACTTACTCTTAAAAAAAACTAATGATGCCACTAGTCCCCAGGCTAGACTCACACCTGCAAAAATAGAAGTTACGTCAACAAATTGAAAACTTTGACAATTTCATGATTTGTCGAAGTTGAATAGAGCAGGAGGAGGTAACAGCAGATCACAGTCCCTTCTGTACACTTGTTGGTAAAAGCTGCACTTCACTCTGTCCTTATTTCTCAAGACTGGGAAGGAATTCACACAGGCCAGATTCGAGACCGAAACCCCGTCCAAACCTTTTCAAGTTAACCTGAACCTGACCTACCAAGTTCGGTACGTCTACCACATCAACCGTAAGTGTTTGTACAAGAACTAAGGCTTACCGACTTGTGTCAAGGAGGCCGTAATCAATTTATCCATTCTTTTGCCCGCTTGCTGTTGACTTAGGGACATTTTGAGTGAATTTTTGAGCTGTCTGCAGACCACTTCAGACGACAGAACAAACCGAAAGGCAGAAGAATGAAAGAGCAAGAAAGATGTATGACTACCAACATGCATCCGAGTATGTTGCACTCTAGGTCGTCTCAATTATCAGAAAAATCCACTTGTTCTTCGAAGATCAGAGGCACTTCAAACGGAAAATAGTGCGAGTTGGGGATAATATGCAGAATTACGATACTTAACACGACCTTCACTAAGTCACGGTGGGGGGGAATTTCGGGCGGCCTTTGTTGCCCAAACTGGGAGGGCTTCAGTTTGACCAGCTGTAGACCATTTGTCTCAAAGTGAAGTATGCTCGAGAAAATCACCTGCGCTTCTTGCAAACTACGACTTAATCAGCACAAACAAAGGTGATTGCGATATCCGAGTTTATGCCATGTTAGGTGGGGTACGTGAGCTGTGGAGGCAAAGCAGAGCTCGCCTATCTTTCGGATTTTGAGGTTGGTAGTCGCTTGCCGGGGCGGAGTGGGGGAGGGAAAAGGGAAAAGCCGTCGACGCGTGTCGAACCGCGACCCGTAGAAACGGATGCCGTACGCACGCAACGCATATCGACTGGGAGTCGTGGCGTACTCCTGTAATCCAGCTACTTGGAGGTCGGGAGATGAGGATGGTTTGAGGCTGGGAGCCCTGCTGCGTAGTGAGTCATGTTGACTGGGCGTCCGCACGAAGCTGGTCGTCAATATGGGCTCCTTGGAGGAGTCCGAGGAGACCAGGTTGGATAAAGAGGGGCGAATCGGGCCAGGGGGGTAACCCAGCAGCCAAAAGTCCCCGCGGTCAGCAGTCGTGGGATCGCGCCCGGGAGTGGGAGCTACGTGGTAGCCCGGTCAATACAGTCAGACCATCTCCTTTTTGGAGTCTTTAATTTTGTTCAAATAGTTGGGCGAGCCATAAAATCAAACCAGCACATTGACAAACTTCACGGCCAGGATATACCGAGAGGAAATACCTCATAAAATTTGTAGACTGAAATCAAAGAATGTAGTACTGGCGTGGGTTCTCAACAAGTTAAAACTCTCACCTTCTTGCAACAAATATATTTAAAAATATAATTTACAATTCATTTGGGGACTGTAGGTAGAGGCTACCAACAACATTGGTAGAAGGCATGAAAACTAGCGTTACAGACACACAGATGCCTTTGAGCATTGCACCAAAGTATTCTAACTATGGAATGGGGTCATAGTTTTCTACTTTTCTTGATATTACTATGATCAGTATCAATTCTTTTTCTTTTCTGGTTACTGTGGGACAATAGTTGCGAATTCTGCACCTAAACAAAAGATAACATAATTAAGATACAAAAAAATAAGCAAAATTGGTTAGCTCAACACACCAAATCAACATTTGTCAGCAGTCATGCACTTACTTTCACAATGGGAGGTTTAGACACTACACCTTCATCCAAGTCTGATTCTTCACTGTCATCACTGTCTTCATCCTCTTCATCATCAAGCTCATCATCATCATCATCATCATCCACTTCCTCTGTTCTAATTTGTGTTTCTTCTTCACCCTCCTCATCTTCTTCATCGTCAAGTTCGTCTTCCTCGTCTTCTTCATCATCCTCCATTTCCTCTGTTTTAATTTTTGTTTCTTCATCATCCTCTTCATCTTCCTCATCCTCATCCTCTTCATCCTCATCATCTTCCATTTCCTCATTTTTAATTTCATTTGCACTTTGACTGTCTTCCAATTGACTAACTTCATCTTGCGATTCCTCTCCCTCCACTTCTGCTTCATCACAATGGTCCTGTTCATATTTAACCATGGAATCCAGGTCCCAAATATCTATAAATTTCCCCTTTATTAAAACTGGAGAAGCCTTAAGAGCAGCAATAACTCCTTCTTCAGACTGCAAAAAAATATGTTTCATAAATGTTTTTAAAATTATTTGTAAAAAAAAGAAAAAAAAAGTTCATAGACCATATTTTTGTGTTTTTTTTCTTTTTGTACTTACCTCAAAAGAAATTTTCTTAATGTTAAATCTTTTGCTAGCATTAATAAATCCACTGGCAGCCCCAAATGGTTTAAGAGCTTTAAAAACTTGATCCTTTGAGATATCTGTAAAAAAAAGAAAGGACTAAGGGAGGAACTCTTTGATGACACATAATTTTAAGCAAATTTCTTTGTGACATATTACCTGATGGAATAAGCATGAACACATTGTGGGTCAAAGCTGGCTCGACAACAATTTTATGACCATGGAAGTCTTTTTTATTAAGAGTCAGAGCTTCAGAATAGCTCTTTTCATCCTGAAAAGAAATAAACATCAGTCAAGACAAAATTTGAACAAGCAAGTTTAATGGTATAACAGAAAAATCAGGAATCACTCACAGAAAAGGAAGCAAAGACACTATTTCCCTTTTTCTTTTTTTGGCTCAATCTCACAAAAATTGGATTATAATCTTTGAGTAGAGTTTCAAAGTCTTGAAGAGAAGCTGTCTTTTTGAAATTGTATATATTGATACTAAGCTTCCAATCCAAGTACACTACTTTGATCTTTGACTTGTGTAGCATAGAACCATCCAATTTCAAGGAATTCACCACAGAGTTCGTCTCTTCAAAGTTAACCAAGGCTTCCAGGGTGGAACTTGAAATATCACTACGGTCCAAATGGACCATTCCAAGTTTCCCACAACTTTCAAATAAGTTCCACAAATCATTCTCGGTTGTACACGTTTGAAGATTTGTCACTCTGATACAGTGCTTAGTAATAAGGTTTTCATTTGAATTGCTGTTCAAGAATTTTTGAACAAGCAAATGGTGATTAAGGAACTCTTGTCCATGGAGCTTTTTCAAAGCTACATAATAATCTGATGGCTTCCTAAACACGCAAGTAGCAGACATCACACAAGCTTTCATTGAGGTGATTTTTTGGTAAAATAATGATTTGACTGGACCAACTTGTTCGGTAATAAATTGTTGGAAATTGTGATGATTTTTCTCAACTCCCTTTGGTACATTTGTTATTAATATAGACTTGCGAGTATCTTCAGGGGCCAACTGTTGTTTTTTCACCACATCTTCAAACCTCACCTTCCCTCCTCTGGTTGGTTGTTCCATGAAAAAAATTCAAATGCAATTACTTGGAAAACTAAGTACACAGAAAAAATTATAAATCCTATTTTACGTACCTTTGAGGTACTCTTCCTTCCCCTCGTCCACGTCCACCCCTAGGTCCAAATCCACGTTTAGGCTGTGCACTACCACCATCAGGCCTCACACTGCCACCTCGCGGTCCACCTCTTCCACGGCCGCGGAAACCACCCTCTCCACCTCTTCCACGGCCACGGAAACCACCCTCTCCACCTCTTCCACGGCCTCGGAAACCACCCCCTCCATCCCGTCCACGGCCTCGGAAACCACCCTCTCCACCTCTTCCACGGCCTCTGAAACCACCCTCTCCACCTCGTCCACGGCCTCGGAAACCGCCCCCTCCACCTCCTCGTCCACGGCCTCGGAAACCACCCTCTCCACCTCCTCGTCCACGGCCTCGGAAACCACCCTCTCCACCTCGTCCACGGCCTCGGAAGCCACGGCCTCCTCCGCCTCGTCCACGGCCTCGGGAACCACTCAGGCTTCTGCCACCCCTCTTATTAATGCCATTGTCAGAAGTGGCTTCCATGTTCAACTGCAAAACAAAACGAGAGTTAGTGAAAGATGACGTGTTCAAAACGAATAACATGGCTAAATCTCAAGACTAATGAAATGATTACGATACGACGGGCCTACAACAACGTGAACGGTGGGGTTATAGTCACGGACAAATAATGCTTAAAGTTGAAATAAACTGGTGGTTTTCGAAATGTATCAAATATATGGATGGATAAAAGTGTAGAAATAAAAGTGCACGTCGCGCAAAACAGCACAATGAAGGGTCAGACAAAGATAAAAGTTACTAGAAATGTGCGGAACGTGCCCGGCGCATGGAACAAGCTCGAGATGTTATGAGGAAACCGAAATATCTTAAAAGACTGGATTCAAATGCTTTCAAAAATCTATCTGTCAATGTTGGGCCTAATACATAAAAATTTAGCATAACCTTTACGTAAATAAATATATAAGTAAACACACCAAATAGACGTACACAAACAAACAGCCACAAGATTCTCCTCTGTCTTCTGCTGGACCCGCGCCTCCGCCAGTGACTGCAGATAGTACGTTCGAGTGTAAATACAGGCGGGAGAGCTATAAACAGCGCTTCGGCTCTCCTGATCACAATCACAGGTGGTGAGGCGAAGGATGTTTATTTATAGCTCTCCTGGAAGACCAGTTCAAAAACGAACGTCTTCTGCTGGCCGGCCAGTCCCATTTCACACTCAAGATTACTTTTGCAAATGTGTTACTCCAGGAAAAGTGCGTTTAACAGGGACCAATTTTCAGTGTTCTTGTAGTGTTTGCAAGAATATTTCTGTGAAAAAAAAAAAACCATGTTGTGATGCGATGGTGTGAATGAAGTCATTTTAAAACACAACATACTGAATATAATTTTTACCAGTCATTACACTCTCAACAACTTATTAAACAGAATTTAAAATATACAACATTTTGTACAAAATAATGCTTTGACAACATGTAAATCAAATCAGGCACACATTTAAGCCTCGGTAGATTAATATTCTAATTGACTTGTACTTGACAGATGCTTTTTTACCTCCCAGCATGAGCAAGAACAGAAACTAAGAACAAGGAGCAAGAGTAAGACAACAGTGACTATCCATGACTATCATCATTTTTGGTATACTTAAAGGAGTCTAAATGTTCCAGACCATTGCGAGTTACAAACAAGCATTGCAGAATCTAGCATACAGTAGAACCCCCACAAAAGGGAATTCCAGTTCTGATGAGTGGATTTTCTTTTCCTGCTACAATCTCTACAGTGTCAAATTTTCTGATCATGACTCAAGGATTTTGCGGTCCTACCCATGGGTTTTACTGTACATTGTTTGAACAAAGAAATTCCTTAGTCAACATTGGTAAAAATAATGAACTATACATTAATGGATAAGGACTGCAGTTCAAGATCGCAAACATGCCTCACTAGACCAAACTCATTCATAAGAAATTACATCTTAAAAGAAAAGAATAACACAATTCAAAATTTTAAGAGAAGTTTTCTTAGGAAATCTACACAAACAGCAAATAAATTCTAAATTTTTCTTTCCTAACAATTCAGAGAAGTGTTACAAGTTCATTTTCTTCTGTCTTTCTTTAGCAGCAACATTTAGTTCTAATAGTCTGATTTCTAGCTGCAACTTTTCCTTTTCAAACTCATGCTTATCTAAGTCATTTTTCAAATGACGAATCTGCAATTTAAGTTTTTGTGTTTTAACTCTGTACATTGTCCGCTCTTCTCTCAAAACTGAGGCTTCCTCTTGATCTTGATCACAAACACTATCGTTTTCTTCACCCATATTTGGAGAGTTGAAATTGTTATCCTCTTCATCTGCATAATCATTGTCAGGGTTGTTGATGATAATTTCAGTTTTGCGTTCTGGCACTATTTGAACTGCTGGGTTCTTGGATGGTGCATCCATTGTATTTATTACCACTTTGCTGGTAGGAATATTTTCATTGCTGGCAATGGCTTTATTTGAAACGATGACAGGTTTGCGAGGAGATAATGATTTTCTTGCTGTTCTTTTCACTTGGTTCTGTGCTCTCACCCCAGGTTCTGCAAAAGTGAATAAAGAAAACAATAATTGGTTTCTATTGAAATATACCCCAGATTAGCAAACAAAAAAACTGATTAAATTAACACACCAGGATCATTTTGTTGTTTCTGAAGTAACAAGGAGTCAGGATCTACCTCGTCCCCAGTGACATACTTCTGACCTTCTTCTACTTCTACAACTGCAACACCTTCATAATTATTAACATGGACTATGACAGGCCCCTCTTGATTTGGACCCAAAATAGACTTGACTACATCAGCTAGACTGCTATTGGGATCCCAAGTTGCAGTGGTATGTTGTTCTTCCTGAGACTGGTGCTGTTCAGGATACTCCTCTTGATGCTCAGTGTGCTCAAGGTGAAGCGGATTGTCACTCTGTCTTTTGTTGCTTTCCACTCTCATTCGTTTTTGTTTTGATGAAGGTCCCGCTGAGTAGCAGTGCTCCCCGTCCTCGTCTCTCATGTCATCCCCTCCCTATGAAAGGAAGTTAAGTTAATATATGTAATTGAGCCATAAGGGAGCCAGAACAACACCGGCATTAGTAAACTTACAAGCTCAGATGGCAGTGCAACACGACGTTTCATTGAATTGAACTTTTCTCGGGTAGTCAGTGGCCTCGATGTAGGGACATTTTCTTTACTTTCAACCACTAAATTAAAACAGCTCCATTAGATCAAGTACAGTGTATACTCAAGCCAAACTCCTCAAATCCACAAATCATCAGTAACTTACCCTTCACATGTTCGAGCAACTGTTCAGCTCTAGCAGTAGAGAGATGTCGAGGATTTTGCCTTATGTACTTGGCCAAATTGGCCAAATCACCAGTAAGCATTACGCGACCAGTACATATTCTCACATAGTTTCGAATACGTCTACGATCTATTCCGAGGAGGAGTAAATCAAGTACATCTTCACGAACCATTTTCAGAGTTGCGTTTTCAGATGTTTCCTTCAAAATGCAACATATAAATAAATGAGAAAAGTGTACTGCTTTATTCATAACCCTTTAACTTAAAGCTGATCCTACAAAAATACCTCTTCTTCTCCATCATCATTCCCAAGATGAGACAAACTTCGTCTTTCTGGATACATGGCTACCAATTCTGGATCGCACGAGTGTGTGTGTTCAATCTCCATCTTTTCAACCACAAGCTCCTCAGAATGAGCTGCCACATAGATGTACGAAGGGCACCCAATTTTGAAAGTACTGTAATTAAAAACATTAAAATACAAATTTCATGCAAAAATTAAGAAACACTTAATAAAATGAAATTAATATTCAGTGATACCTCTGATTAGGACGAAGGCCCCGACTTTTACTCTTTCTCATGCCATAGTGTTTACATGCAAATTTAATATGTTTGTACTTCAAGCAAAGCGGCAACTGTTTATCAGCAGGTCTTTTCAGATTCTCTTTTTCGACCAATCTGCTATTGTAGACAGTGTACACTGAGTTGGTATCCAGAGAAAACCTTTCTATGGCTGCTTCTAGAGCTTTGAAGCTGGGATACCGGGCACCAACTTGTAATTGCATGATCAATCGTAACTTGTCAGGTCAGCTATAAAACTGGTAAATCTGAAAATGGAAATGAAGCTGTTTGATGGAAAGCGCAGCAGAGTAAATCATGTACAGCAGAAAAGTTCAAAGAATTATTAAAGAAAAGTAAATATCTGAATTTTACTGTTTGAATCACAAGTAAACATTGAAAGTAATAATATTATGATTAGTGAATCGGTTGAGGTTAGGATACTGTACCTGGTAATACAATATACCCTTTTTCAGCATTGAAACGAGTGAACACACAGTGTCAAAGGATCTTCGTAATCAAGAAGATTCATAGTTCCGAGATATATTTGCTATCCCAACATAGCAGCTCATCCGCCGTGTATATAAGGTATTAACTTCGAACTTCGTATAGCAGGAGCGCGCCAAGCGGTCGGTCAAAAGCGCAAAGCGCACGAAAGGAAAATGGCGGCTGCCAGGCAGAGAATGAAACAATGAAACATTCATTATATTTTTTTGAAAAAAAGCGACGTAGAAACGACGAAATGCATGAATTTCCGCCTCATCAAATTTTATATGGATTCTTCATTGCTTTTCGATTCAAGATTTATTGAAAGCGCACCTTGCCTTCGCGCTGCGTCGTACCAACCTATGGCGACCGAACCAAGAGGAAACGGAGAAGCACACGGGTTATCTAATAACTCAATTTACCATATTGAAGTAGAATAATGTAAAATATATCAGTAAAATTTCAATAAAATTGCTTTTTGTCTTTTTGGTTCTTAACGGTTCTTCTTTGTTCTTGTCGGAAGCATGGATGTTGTGGGTGTAAGGCGGTTCAGAGGCCGATATTCAAACCATCACGCTGTATCAACCCATCGGCTTGTGGTGTTTTTACGAGAGGAACAGGATTTCATGTGTAAAAAGACGAGAGATTTCATCCATAAATTTAATCGAGAACATTTTCTTTGCACAATAGAAACACCTAAATCTCCAGTTCCACTCTTTTTACCTCTAAAATTAGTCTTCACGAATCTCACTACATTAACTTAATTTCTATTTACAAAGTTTGAGTGGATAAATGAAAATTTAGGTGAACTCCAGAATAATGTGGCTCCTACCACATTATGTGGAAGCAAAGGTTGAGAAGGGTAAACCTCTCGCTATAGAGCTACATTCACAATTTTAGAGTAAACGCATAAACTAGTCAATAACATAAGGAATGGATGTGTTCTTGCATGTTTCTTTTTCTCCTTTTTTTAAACGGAACAAGTCTCTGGCGTAGAGAATCAGAATTCTTGGAGCTGCTGGGGAGGGACCGTGATCTTAAAAAAGAAGTTTCCCCCTTGCAGCATAGCACTTTCGCTTGACATATCCATTCCAAATCATTTGTCGTTATCACAGCATTTGTTACAGTAACTGCAAAGAGTCTTCAAAAATATTACCCTGTGCAGCTTATATAAATAGATTAAACTCTCATTGTTCAAATGGTTCTCCTCTTGAGAACAGGGAAACAAAAGGATAAGCGCGGAAGAATGTTGAGATTGTCTGATAAAAAAGATCCTCACTCAATTGTTTTAACGAGTAGCAAAAGTCAAATTATCAATGGGTTGAACGCTTTAACTTATCAATTAATAAATGTTAAATTTGGCACATGGATTAGTAAATTGTGAGACATTTCATTCAATAAAACTTGGTCTTAGTAAAGAATTAAGTCTTGTGACATTCCTTTTCCAATTATTGCAAATCGAGGCGAGGAAAGAAGGAATTGACACGAACGCGGGGTCACATATACATATATCAGTCAAATGCCGCGTTGTAAAGAAAGCCGCTACCTGAGGCCCAAAACAAACGAACAACGAGAGATGCAAGAAAACTCGACATTAAGAAAAATACAAAAGTACAATGCGAAAAGGCCAAATTTGGTTCGTAGACTCAGGGCCTCGGGTAGCAGCAGCCCTCCGAAGCACCAGCCTGTCGCGTGAACTCTATGGCCGTGGCAGGGAGGCGGGGGCGGGGGCTTCCCTGGCGGCGAGGCGAGCCTGGCGGTCACTGCCAGCGACTCACTGCCTCACTGCTCGCTGAACCAGCCGCGTTGCGCCACGTACGACGACCTAGTCTGGTACTGCGACTGCGACCTGGCCGCGCCCTGCTCGGCGGCCTGGTGCACCACGGCGGTCGTGGTGGTCGAGGTCGAGGCGGTGTGTCCGGGCGGCAGGGGCGCGGGTCCGCGGCCTCGGCTAGACCGCGTGGACCGCGCCGACGACCGCGGGGACGTCGGCGACGGTGACTGGCCACGCACCACGGCCCAGTGCTCGGTGAACTCGGAGGCGGAGCGCGCCAGGGACGGCTGGCTGAGCGAGCGCGCCAGCCCCAGCGTGCCGTAGTCGTCCTCCATGGCGTCCTCTTCGTCGTAGAAGCGCCGCGACGCCGAGGCGGGCCCACCGCGGTAGTACAGCGACGACGGGCCGCTCGCGTCGCTCAGCGTGTCGGCGCGCTCCGGCCGCGTGTAGTCCACCATGACCTCCGTCATGGAGCGCACGTCCATGTCCGACATGGACGGCATGCTGGAGCGGCTGGTGCGCCGCGACCGCGCCAGGTCCAGGCCGCTCATGGCGCCGCCCTCGTGGCCGTCGTGCTCCGTGGTCATCGTCAGCGAGCTGGTGGCGTCCGAGTCGTACTCGTACAGCGTGGGCAGCGAGGACCGCCTGCTGCGCGTGTCCCAGTCGGCCTTGCGGCGGTAGCGCTGTCCGTTGGCGGGGCCGCCCTGCAGAAGAAGGCACAAAGTCAGTGACGCGTCGCGGTGTCGCAGCCGCAAATGCCTGCTAGCCTGCCTCCCACGCGCCCAGGACGCAGGGCCACAGGACTCACCTTCGGGTCGTAAAGCCGCTCCGGCGGCGCGAGCACGCGGATGATGACGTCCCACTTGGCGGGCTCGAACAGGCGCTCGTACCGCTCGTCGCGGCGGATGCGCTCGTAGTCCTCCTTGATGGTAGCCTCCGTGAGCAGCGTCCGGAGCGAGGACTCGGTCGTCAGGATCTGGCGCCACTTTCGCGGTCCTCCTGGGTCAGCGCCGTCGTCGTTGTCGTCGTCATCGGGGAGCTGATGGGCTCCTCGCCAACCTGCGGCATAGAGAGAATGTGAGCACACGGAGCCGTGCGCGTGCCGCGTGCGCCACCTCACGGTGAGCGTCAGCCAGCCGGCCTCCGCGTGGACGCCGCGTGGATCACGGGATGGACTTACCATGCTGACCTCGCTGACGCTGAGGTCGTCGCCGTCGCGCGGTTCTGGCGGCTCGGGCTGGTCGAGCACGCGGATCAGCACGTCCCAGTTGGGCGGTGGCGGCTCCGGCGGCGGGATGGTCATGGAGGAGCGGTACGTCCTCTCCACGTCCACGCTGGAGCGGTGCAGCTCCGAGCGCTGCTGCAGGTGCTCCGTGAGGTGCTGCTGGTTGATGCGCCTCTCCGTGATGTGCTTCTCCAGGGGCCTCTCCAGCACGGGCGTGGTCGGGTAGCCGGACGCGGAGGACGTCTCCGAGTAGCTCTCCCAGTCGGTGGCCGGCTCCTGGAGCAGCTCCTGTCCGGGCGCGGGGTAGTTGCGGATCACCACGTCCCACTTGGGGTTCGGCGGCGGCGGCTTGGCGTGGAACTCCTTCACCTGCAAGCAGAGCGCGAGCAGAGCGCGACTCGTTTCACACACGGAAAACCAACTTCGTCAAGACTGCTGCATGAATCCTTTTCGAGCTCTCACCTGTCGGCGGTGTCGCTCGATGTCCTCGATGGTCCTCTTCTCCGTGATGGTGCGCAGGAAGACGTCGTCCACGACGTGGCTGGTGATCTCGGGTCGCCGCTCCGCCACGACGGGGGCCTCGATCTGCTCCACGATCTCCTCGACGATGGGCGGCGGCAGCCGGGGCGCGACGGCCACGCGCTGGGCGGTCTCGATCTCCTGGGTGTCGACGATGGTGCGCAGGTCCGCCGTCTCCGTCGTCAACGTGGAGATGCTGGGGCGCGGTGGCGGCGGCGCGGCGCGGACAACCTGCAAGGAGAGCGGGCTTAGTGGCCGCGGCGTTCCCCTGCTCGGCGTCGTCCGGGAGCTCCAGTCGTTCGGCGGGTGCATCGGTGGTCGGTTGGAGGGACGGGCCGGTGGTGCCGGCGGCGGCGGCGACGCGTAGAAGGACGTCACCGGGATACTTACCACCTTGGCGGGGCCGAGGAATGCCGGATTGGGTGAGGACCAGTGAGGACCGAGCCACCAAGCGGCGGACCGCACTCGGTCTCGCGAAGTGCGCGCGGCCCGGCACGGCCCACCCTGGAGGCGGCAGGCAGCACCGAGCGCACTTGGACCCTGAGCGCGGTGCGCCCTTGGAGGCCTTGGAGGCCGTGGTTGGTTTGGTTGGGTTATCGAGTTGGCGGGGGTGAGGGTGAGTCGCGTGCGGCGAGCAGTGCGGTGGTGATGACCAGGGTCAGGGTGGACGGGCGGATGGGGTGATGGGGTTAGGATTAACTCAATCATGACTCATGTCGGATGCACATCTTGCACGGGTTAAACGGGTGAACTGTTGTTGTTGTTGACGAGGTTCGCGAACGAGACCAGGTCTGTTAAAGAAATAAACGTCGTCGTCGTCGTGCTCCCCATGCCTGACTTTCACGGTTTGGAAACAGCGTCCTGCGTTTCGATTTGTCGCCTCCCCTCTCCGGCCGCTGCGTGCCGCTGCGTGCCGCTGCGTGTCGCTGTAGTTGACCCAGTTTACCTGCTGGCGCCGCGTGATGCGGGAGTACACCGGGGCCGCCGCGGCCGCCGACGCGCCGGGCACCGGGTGCAGCTCGGGCACGTAGGAGAAGGTGGTCTTGTGGATGGACGGCGTGTCCTCGCGCTGCTCCAGGATGGTGGTCAGCTTGTCCTGCTGCAGGGTGAGGTGCGACTCCAGGTCCGAGCCGGGCGGCGAGGGTGGCGGCGGTGAGCGCTTGACGCGCATCTGCGGGGTTAGGAGGGTTAGCGATGATGACGAGCACCGCGACGAGGGGTTAACGCGTTTTCGGCGATATAAACAGGCTTTCTTGCAATTATTATTATTTATTATCATTGTGATTGTGACCGAATAAATGAAGAGTAATGAACTTGGGTGGTATTACGAATGCTTTATGCTGATTTTCTTTGTTATTATTAATCTGAGAGAAAAACCTTTTATTTTTCTGTCGCGGCGTGGGAAGCGAGATGGCCGTGCGTTCTGTACAAGACTTACCTGGACCTCCATCTTGTGGTGCGGTTCGTAGGAGCCGGAGCTAACGGTGGACGGCCTGCGCAGGCTCCGCGTATCCACCTATCGGCAACACACTGCACTGAACCAACTGGACCCAGAGGCCCGGGGGGGTGGGGGGGAGGCCGGAGGGACACGGGGTGAGAGCATGGGGTTAGCCTTCGTTAAATCGACCGATCGACATGCGGAAATGCAAAATGCTCAAGGACAAACCGATGGCTGGCATTACTGCATTACTGTACAGCGGGTCGAGTTTTGCAAACGGTGGGTCGCCGGCGCCACGTCCCAGTTTGGAGCCACACAAGAATGCAACAACGAGCGGATTGCCGGCCATCCGGACTGCTGACTTGCAAGTCACGCCTCTAGCGCCTGCGAAATCCACGGGAAAGACAGAGCATGCCCACGTCCGTGGCCGCGAACAGGGACGAGCCGCCGCTCGCTCTGGCCCTGGGACGGCTCGGCGCCGGGAGGGCGGGCAACCCATGCCACGGCTCGCGGTGACGCAGCAGCGCGAGCAGCGCGAGCAGCGCGTAGGTTCGGAATTCGGCAAGAGTCATTCCGTTCCGCTTGCACTCGAGAAGGCGACCAAGACCAAGGCAGGTTGTTCATGGGGCACGATGAATGGTATGGCGCTTCGAACGCCCGGCTTCATACAGTGAGGAATAATGAGACTTTCTGGCGAAGGCCGATCTGAAACGGCATCGGAAATCGTTCCGGTTTTGGAGCACGTTCCGATCCCGTTTGCAGACGAAAGATGATAACAGATTTTAAAAAATGAAGCGTTTGTTAGTTCCACGGCGTGCAGGACGCTCCGGAGCACAGGCTCCTCTGTCGCGGCTGTTCCCCAAGGCCACCAAGGCCCGTCAGAGGGCGGCAAACGCCGCGACGTGTCCGTCGACAACGGGAAGCCGTCGGCGGCGTCCGCGCCTCCCTGACTGGGCGAGGGCGAGAGGCCGTCGTGGTGGTGCGCCGGGTGCACTGTGCACTGCCCAGGGCGAGGCCCAGGCAGCGCCTCAACACCTCCACGGCTGTCTTTACCTCCTCCACTTCCGAGTGCGCCGAGCTGGGGGACTCGCTCGGGTAGTCCGACGGCAGCGTGTCCGAGGGCTCGGACACCAGGTGCTGCTCCGAGCTGGACAGAGACACGGCGGTGTGCGCGCGTGGTATCTTGAGGCCCTCGAACAGGGACACCGGCCCCAGCGAAGGGTTCGACAACTTGGAGCTCTCCGATTCGGTGTCGGCCACGAAGGGCGCGCGCCGCACCACCTACAAACAGCAGGCAGCTCACGATGAGGCAGGGGGCCAGGGCCGGTACGGGGCGAGGAGACGTTATGTTGCCGCCACTGTACACTTTTCTGTACAAGAAAGGGAGGCCGTCTTCCGGGGTTCCACTCGCACTCAAAATTACGCTTGGTATTTTCTAGCTCTAAAAAGAAGGCTGTATTTCCAAATCTGTTTTGTTTTGTAAAAAATTTACTTTGTTTCAAGCCGCGTGACGAGTGTGGAGGGAAGACGGCTCCTTTCCCAAGAGAGGTTTGTAAATTAGGTGGGTCATGCTAGAGCGGCGATTTGGGTCCGTGCGTGGCGTCGTTGTGATTGGTCCGAAACTCGACCGGCACCTTGACCGGCACCTTGACCGGCACGCACGAGCCCAGCTCGCCGCCCTATGGTTTTCATATCAGAGGAAGTAGGTGGTGGACGAGCACAGGCACAAACAAGTAGGATCGCGTGCTGAAATTTAATTTTCTCATGAGCTTGTTGCTGTTAGCGTCTCGATGCGGAAGCGACGCTATGCCGTGGGCACGGCACGCGAGGCACGCCATGCTGGATGAGGGTCGCTGGGTCATGTGACGGCACCAACTGTGCGCCCATTAAAACCCCGCAACGAAAATTTGCGAAACAAATTTGGGAAAGATTCTTTTCTTTTTCCGATTCCGATAAATCCGTTAGATTTGCGACGCGCAGTTAGCATGCCTGATCAGACCACTTGGACCGGCGGTTCAAGTAGCCTCTCTTTAGGTTGTCATGGGAACGCGAGGTGATGATGATCATGCACGTGCATCATGAAAGCAGCGGTCCGACCTTTCTTTTCTTTCGGTACAAGGGGTATACATAATGAGGGCTCTGAGTGTGGCAGCGGCCTGGCGACGTCGCTGGGGCTGTGGGGGAGAAGGACACTGGGGGGACACTGGGGGGACAGCAGGGCACGACACTGGAGAACCGAGGCGGTGCGCACCTGGATGTTCCTGTTCCGCAGGCAGTAGTACGAGCAGCCCAGGCCGAGCAGCAGCAGCGACAGGAACAGGATGGCGCAGATGATGAGCAGGATCTGGAAGCCCTGCAGCGGCGGCTCCACCGGGATCACGGGCGGCGTCTCGATGCTGCGGGCAAAGCGGCAAAGGGAGGGAGGCATGAGAACGGAACGCGTCACTGGAGGCGGGGCGGGGCGGGGTGGGGCGGCCGTCGGCGGCGTGCTTACATGGGCGCGAAGAACGCCGGCGGCTGGGCGATGGGCGGCGGGTAGCGGCACACGATGGTGATGACCTCGTCGCCGTCCATCTCCAGGCCCGGGTGGAAGCGCACCACGATGTTGTTGGTGAACACGCGCTGCGGGTCCTGCAAGCCGAAAACAAAGTGAGGCCGTGCCGGGATTCGAACCCGGGTCATGGCTCTGAGCCCTCGGTACTCACCTGGCGCGTGCCGCAGCCCTTGAGGGGCAGCTCGATGCGGTAGCTGAGCGCGCCCTTGCCGGCCACCTGGCAGGCCGAGTTGCGGTCGAAGTCGGCGTACACGATGCCGAAGAAGGGCTCGTTGAACTTGAGCTCGGCCTTCATGGAGCCCGCCTCGCAGTTGAGCACCGCCTTGGTGCGGTTCAGGAAGATGACCGGCGAGAGATCGTCCAGCTTCGTGACCTGCGCGGAGGAGAGCAGGGAGGGGAGGGTTGAGTGCGGGGCTGCAGGGCGTCTTCTCCGTCTTCCGGCTCGCAAAGCGTCGCAAAGGGCAAGCGGCGGAAGGGCCGCGTCGTGAGAGCGCGCCGGCAGAGCGGCAAGCCGCCAAATTTAGACTTTCGATAAAACAGGAAAGCAACCCGAGGAGAGGACTTACCCTGCCGTTGAGCGTGGCCTGGTCGGGGAGGCCGGAGTTGGGCTCGTACTCCACGCTGTTGCCCTGGCTCGCGTAGTTGGACTGGCCGCTGGCGCCGCCCAGCGCGGCGACGGCCACGAGGGCCAGCAGCACGGCCCGGGACATCTGCAGCAGACAGGACAGCACCGTTGTCACCTCGGTCGTCTCGTCTCCAAAATCGCACCGATTCGCTCCTCGCAGCATGCTGCAGCAGTCGCGGCGCGCCGTGGTCCCCTTTCAGTCGCTGGGGAACTACGGCCGCCCCGATTGCGAAATGGGGTCGTCCAGGTTGCTCTCGGGACGCTAGGGACGCCAGGGCGGTGTCATCCGCGGCCCCGCGGCGTCGACGGGCCTGGCGTGGCGCGCCCCACCGCGGCAGGGCAGCCGCGTGGGCCCCGTGGCGTGCTGCAAGGACTGCAGCGCGAGCAGCGTGACTCGGGGACGCGCCGCACCGAAACACCGAAACACCGACAGTCGCAGGGATGTCGCCCAGGGCACGTTTTCAGCTTGAGCGTCCTCCAGCGCGGCCCGCACCAAGCTCATGACGGTGGAATCCTCGTTCCAAAGGCGTCGCCACTGATTCGAACCCGATTCGAGATGGAGCTCCAAGCACGTCGAGAGCTTCGGCCGCCCGGCCCGCCGTTGCGCCGCCGTGCGCGCCCCGACAACACTAGCCTCCAACAGGGCCGCGCCGCACTCCGCCAAGTGATGCAATGCGCTTCTTTCCGGCGAGCTGCCGCTGCGCCGCGGACGCGCGCGGACGCCAGCCGAAGCCTCGTTGTCCCACTACACTGCACGACGGCGCGGCCAGGCGGCCCGGCCAGGGCCCAGGCAGCCGGCGGCCGAGGCCACATAAATATAGCCCACGCAAATCACGCTTTGTGTTTTAATGACTCGCCGGCGACAAAGCTCGGCTAAACTAATTACACGACAAAGCTCGGCTCCGGTTCGGCTCGGCACACCGCCCCGCCCCGCCCCGCCGCGCTAGTGCCGGTGCAGCGAGCAGTCGGCCGGTCGGTGGGGCAGCGGAGCAACTTTGCTTAATTACCCCTAAGGCTGCCTTTTGCCGTTCGCCTTTGCATGCGGCCAACAGCTAGACAGTTAGGCCACGACGGCATTCTAGATTCAGATTCGGATTCAATGGCGCCCGGCCGGCTAACGGCATTTTGCACAACAAATACGTCCCGCACTCCACCCCCTCCCCACTTGGTCGGTGTGTTTGTTTCTTTGTTTGACGCGCGCTTTGTCTCTTGATCATGACCTTCTCACCTCCCGCGCGCGATTGTGTGGCAGAAGGGGGAAAGCCGCGGAAAGAGAGAGAAAGAAAGAAAACAAAGGAGGGGCGCTACTGTGTGTAACTGCCCATGACGCGGATCGCCGCCGCGCGCCGCGGTTTCGGAGCGCTCCTCGGGGACCGGACCCGGGACCCGGGGAACACCCCGCCAATCTGACCTTGTTTTTGCGCGTAACACTGAGCGGCACCGCTGGGACGTTTTAAAGAGCTTCGCCATCAGGCCTCGCGGCACTGCCATGGCAGTGGCATGGCAGTGGCATGACAGCAGTAGCGAGCGGTAAAGACTCCCCAACACACACCAAAAGAAAGTTAAAAAACGACGACGGCAGCGACATCCAGGCTCGTCCGGGCTGCTGGCCCTGCTGGCCCTGCTGGCGCACAATCATCATGTCGCAGGCCGGCCATTATTGCCTACGCTGCGGTTTTTCCTCGCTTAAAAACGGCTGGAAATTCACGCGGCGGCCGAGGGATGGCGCGTCCAGGCCACGCGGTCCGACGCGGACCCGGGAATGTCGCGCGGAGGGGAGAAGCACCGCGAAGCACCGCGAAGCAACGCGAAGCACTATCGAAAACTTGATTAAGCAATTAAATGGCGACTTTTTGTCTCCGTTTCGCAGGATAAGAGGGCCGGTTGGCCGGTTCCCAGGCCGGCCGGCCGCCGCTGCTGATTGCTAGGAGGCATCGGATACCTCCGCTACGCCCCGCCCGGCCCGGCCCCCGGGCCCCCGGACCCCGCCACCGAGGCCGCCAGGCACTTGTAGCTGTATGGCTGCTTTTATTTTACGAGATCTCGCATTGCGTAGCCCTTTAGCGTAGCCCTGTGGCCCTTTGCCGGGGCCATTTGACGTGGCCCTTTAGCGTAGCCCTGTGGCCCTTTGCCGGGGCCATTTGACGTGGCCCTTTAGCGTAGCCCTGTGGCCCTTTGCCGCGGCCATTTGACGTGGCCCTTTGGCGTAGCCCTGTGGCCCTTTGCCGGGGCCATTTGACGTGGCCCTTTGGCGTAGCCCTGTGGCCATGAGGACTGCCACCATACTGCAATTCGATGACCCTTAGCACCACCCCCAAGACGGCGACGCGTGCCGATGGAGGCAGTCCGGTCAAAGCCGAGAGCGGCGCCTTCAGGAAACGATCAGTATTCCGCCAACAGAGGCGCCTCGCCGCGGGTGGCAAAAAGAACAAGCAACCCTCTGGCCGAAAGTGGGCTGCGGAAAAGGAGAAAAACAATGGCACTCGGACCGACGCGCGCGTAAACAGACGATTAACGTCCAGTTTGTGTTGCGTGTGCGACCTGCTCACTGGTGCCCGAGCACGCTCACACCAACACAGGCGTGTGTGTGTGTGTGTGTGTGTGTGTGTGTGTGTGTGTGTGTGTGTGTGTGTGTGTGGTGTGTGTGTGAGTGAGTGAGTGCGGGAGCATCACGAGAAGAAACGAATCCGTCTGCTGCTCTACTTAGCAAACCAGTTTTAAACACCTGACACAGAGGGCGCTTCTGGCCCTGCGGTGCGGCTGCGCGCGCATCGGGCTTCAGGGGGCGGGGATGAAGTTCGGGGCCGACACGCCGACACTCCGCTCCGACAGACTCGAGCGGACTCCGACACGCCCGGAGCGCATCCTCGCCCAGATCGCCTCGCCGTGGCCGCCTTAAATGTCACGGCGAATTTCCCTTTAAAGTCCATGATGCCGGTCTTCCGACACTACCGAGGGGAGCGGGGGGAGGGGGGGCTCGTCGCAGCTCAACGACACTGCCGGGGAAAAAAAGGAGGAGTTGGGCCGCGGGATCTTAATCGCGGCGCGGCCATGATCACAGTGTGGTGGTGACCGGGGCCACGGACCGTCGCACCGTCGCATCGACACCGCAGCAGGTGGTCCGTGGTGGCGGGGCGGTCCCACCTCGCCACCTGTTGGCGCGCGAGCACGCTCACACACACACTCGCACTGACAGCCCCACAGGTGGTATTTCGTTAGAGTGGTCATCGCGGAATCATAAACGTAAGTGCAGCGGGTTTGGAGCCGAGATAGCCGAGTACCGCAGAGGTGTGGTGCGGTCAGGCGGACGGGACTTAAGGTCGCCCAGCCTCACACAGACACGCTCGCACATACACTGGCACACACACACACACCACACACGCCGAGTCGCGCATGGTTAAGCTGCACGGCTGCGATGTGCAGATCAGATGAACAGATTAAAGCTGATTTTGAATGCTCGGCCGCGCGCTGGTGTGAGCGCGCGCGCACGTGAGTGTGCGTGCGTTCCTGTGTGAGTGTTTCTGTGCGTGTGTGTGGTTCTGCTGCCCCGCCTCAGGGAAGTTCGGAGTAGTAGACGCCTAGCGGAAGCGCGTCGTCATTTGGTGGGCTGAATCACTTCCAAACACCTCTCTCTCTCTCTGTCTGTCTCTCTCTCTCTCTCTCTCCACACACACACACACCCTGACACACCGGCTCACTCACACTCACGCACGAAAGACCCGTCAGCTCGCGCGTGTTAAGGGGGATTGTCCGCATGACGTGTCCCCGGTCGTGGAGGCCAGTTGATTTGCATGGGTGAGTACCGGGCGGGTTAAAGCGCCGAGCTGATTTACAGCGAGCTGGTGGCTGGTGCCGCCGCCGTGCCGCTGCCTCGACGTAACATCTCTTTCTCTCCCTCTCTCTCACTCTGCGGCGCTCTGCGGCCAGCGGCGGCACTTGACGGACGGCTGTATGTTTTATGGATTCCGCGCGCCTTCTCGTCATCTCGGACCAAGTGACGCGGAGGAAGCCCTCGCTGTCGAGGTCCTGGTGAACGACGAGATCCTCGTGAACGACGAGGTCCTCCTGGACGACGAGGCCCTTTTAGGCGACGAGGTCCTCCAGGACGACGAGGTCCAGATCGGCGAGGCGCTGGGTGGCGGCGAGGCCCTGGCCGTATGCCCTGGCCCTCCAAATTTGCTTCATTAGGGTCCAGGTAATTACAGGGCGGCGGGGCCCTCGTCGGCCCCGTGTACGATTGGATGGATGGATGGTGTCGACGCGCCGCCTTCGACCGGCCGTCATCGCCATCATCATCATCATCATCATCTCCGTCGTCACGGCCACAGTGCGAGTGTGTGTGTGTGTGTGAGTGCGCGTTACTTGCATGCGCTGGATTCGGCAGTGAGATAGACCGGTCTGAGGTCAAGCAGAGAGTCACGCCGCACCTGCAGCACAAAGGCCAGGCAGTCCTTCGCCTCCTCGCCGCCGTGCGCCGCCGTGCGCCGCCGTGCGCCTTCGTGCGTGGGCCCCGCCAGACTGCGAGATGAGGCGGTGTCAGGCTGGGGCCACCGCGCCTCGCGCCTCGCGCTCCGCCGCGTTCCTGTTACGGGGCTCTCTTGTATCATCGCGTTTTCGCAACGAGCCACGGCACCGTGTGTGTGCGCGATGGCGCAAGACCGCCTGTTCTGTCCATCGAAATCCTCCCTCCCTCCCTCTCTCTCGCTTGCCGTCGCGCCCGCAAAGGAGCAGGCGCGCGCACACACACACACACACACACACACACACACAAGCACGCGAGCGCACGCACACACACGCGCGCCGATGGATGGGTGAGATGCGGAGCCACATGCCGCGCCGCTGAGCGCCGCTCGGACGGAGCGTGGGTTGACAGGTGTCTACGCGCACGTCAGAGAAAAAGTGCTCCTTTTTTCCCCCCCTCACCGCCAGTCGAATGCGTTTCGCAACATTTTCATCGATGTAGACGAGAAGAAACAGAAAATAGAAACCGGAAGGCATTATTTCGGGATGATGACTGTGAATGAATGGAAGCAGCAGCAGCGCGGCCGCAGATGCCTCGCGATGCATCTGGATGCGCCATTACTG